TCCTTCTCTGGATTTTCGTAAATCTTTAAAAAGTTTGTAGCATCTGAAACTGCCTCTGTATGATATATTGACTTCTCATGTGTCTCACCATCACCGGTTTTGCCATACAATTTCGAAAATTTATTTAGTCGTATGTTAACAAGTTTTCCCAATTTAGTTAATTTATGTACTCCTCCTAATTTTCCAAAAACCATGCAATATTTACAGAAAAGCCCTTGTAGTTCCTCTGAATATGACAGCGAAGTAAATTTCTCTGTTTTTTTGATAAGTAACATTTCACTTCTTTATTATTTTTCACGTGTGTGAAATAGGGATATTTGAAAGAGTCATTAGGGATCATTGTACACCTCAATAATATATATTTTTCAAGGGAAGACAAGTTGCCGCTGAAATTTACTTATGGCGCAACATCAACAAAATTGGATCCTTTAGGTTTCGCACCCGATTGTTCAACACTTGGTTCAGCATACGGTGCAACATCAAGAAATTTTGGCTCAGGTTGAATTGTAGGATTATCATCAGTTTTTTCCGGTAATTCTTGTGCCGTTGGATGAGATAGTTTGTTTTGCTTAGAAAGGAACCATTCGATGGTATTCTCTTTCCTTTTATTCATCCTGACAACAGCAGCCGTCAATCAGCACTACAAGTTACACAAATATTGTCAAATAAACGGCATTATTGGTTTCCACGCATTTACGTTTCTGATAACAAAGAACCTTTTCTGTTTGGAAAACAAGATTTCTTAGGTTCACGCAATTTTCAAAAACTATAAGTTCAAGCAATTTTCAAAAACTAAACATAACTTGCCATCTCGGTCGAACGAACTGCATTGAAATGCTTATATACAGGGACTTCCGAGACATAGATTATAGTGATAGCTGGAGTATGGACTAAACCAGAGTTCCCCAAACTTTTGTGTGTCGTAGACCCCTTGCCATGTTTTTCCGTGTTGGGTAGACCCCCTACTTACCTGATATTGATTTCCTATAAATTTTTAACTGTAGTGAAGTTTAGTGTTAAAAACTTAAAGTAAATACACATGTTAATTTATACATTTATTAATCGAATTTAAATTAAAACTACTCAAAATAAAATTTTGTATCTGTTATGTAAAATATACGTAACATTAAATAAACAGGTGTCTGACCAATAAGCATTGGGAATAAGTGCCCGCATTGAAAAAAAAATAATAGGGATAAGAAAAAAAAAGTGAAAAATAATAAAAAAAAAAGTGTTTTACTTAAAATAGTACAATAAGCGAGTTCGTTTATTAATTATAACATAAACGTATGTTCTACAATAATTTCACTGTTTGTTTGATTAAATTCCGCTTCTTATACGTTTAAGTTATCTAAAAATAGGCAAAAAATTAACGAATTTTAGTGTGTACCTATCCTTGAATTTTCAGAATAATTAAAAAAAAATATTTTCTATAAAGGGGGGTTCTTTAAAAAAATCAATGCGGGCACTTATTCCCAATGCGGGCATTTATTGGTCAGACCCCAATAAACATAAAATAAACTATAAATAAAATAACATAAGCAATAAGTCAATATTTTTAGTGAGAAGGATGAACCTGATGCTTTAATAATAAATTATCAACATTTGGCGTCAATTTTGTAAGGTTTAATCTTAAATCTCCTAGGCTAATGATGTCCAGTCTGTTTCTTTTTTTCGTTAGGAGATTGGTAACAGCGCTGAACCCCCTTTCCACTAGGCATGACGATGGAAAGGAAATTAAAAATTTCCTCGCTATATTCCATAATACGGGTATGTTGTTTTGCAGCCAGAATTGCTGATATCCGTTTTTAAACTGAACCTTAAGTTCTTCGTTTGTACTTAGTTCAGTCAGTTCCTCTTGTATTATGACATTCGTTTCTTCTATGTCACCATATGGATTAATTATCCACGGTGGTATTACCATAGTCCAAATATCCTCAAACCTAGATTCAAAATCTGAATAGAGGGCATTTAAATGTTGAACGTAAGTTGAAACGTCGTCTTCCTGGCAGCTTGTCTGTGACAAATTGGGGAACTGAAAAAGTTCGCCCCGTCCAATATTTTGCCTCATTAGTTTAACTCTGGCAAGAAACGCTGATAAGATGGACTTTGTTTTAATCAAATTTAAACTGTCGCCTTGTAATTGCAAATGAACCATATTAAATTTTGTAAACAAATCTGTTAAATAGGCGATGTATGTTTTCCTCTTCATTAAATTTTCTTTTAAAATTTTATCTTTAGTATACAGAAATTCTGAAATAGTCTCAAAAAGTGCAAAAAATCTTGTCAAACATAAGCCTTTCGACAACCAGCGTACTTCTGTGTGAAGGAGTAATTGATGAACGTGTTCGTCATTTTCTTCACACAACTGCACAAATAACCGCGTATTCAACGCGTTGCTTCGGATTCGGTTTACTGCATCAATGACTAAATGAAGTGATTCATGCAATCTAACACTCAAATTTTTAGCAACTAAATATTGTCGATGGATAACGCAATGTATTGCTAACACCCCTGACACATTTTGTTTTAAATAGCTTATAAATCCACGACAACGTCCAACCATAGCAGGTGCTCCATCTGTAGCTACTGATATTATATTTGATAAAGGAATTGCTTTTTCAATGGAGTAATCCTTCAAAACATGAAATATTGATTCACCTTTAGCGTCGGTTATCAAAGTTCTTGCGAAGAGCAGTTCTTCGTAGATTTCTTGATTCATAATAAAACGAGCATTTGCCAATAATAATGCTGCATTATCAGGTAAAGTTGACTCGTCCAGTTGTATAGAGAAATGGGTCGTTTGCAAATAATTACATATGAAGCTTTCCATATCAGAACTCATTTCATCAATACGTCTTTCAACAGTATTGTTGCTTAAGGGAATTATTTTAATGATATCAGATGCAGGTTTGTGTAAAACAGTTTTTAAAACCTCTTCAACGGCTGGCAAAATTAACTTCTCTCCGATGCGGTTTTCCGGATTTTCCTATAAGTAACGGGATATTGTAAGACGCCCGCAAACCATCATCATTTCTTTGTGACGGCGAAGCGAACATTCTGTCCAGTGTAGGTCTCTTCTGAAATTTATCTTTGAGTGTTTGAATGTATTTCAAATCTTTCTCTGTTTTATCAGGGTGGCATCTTCTCAGATGATCTTGCAGTTTAGATGGTTTCATAGCGTCATTGCCCAAAACTTTGTTCCATAAAAGGCACATAGGCGATTGTTTGTCCGGCAATGATGGAATGAAGCCAAATTTCAAATAATCAACACTGTACTGTCTACTTTTCTTTTTAGATTCGGACATGGCATCAGTCATCTGTGGGCAAAATTAAATTATTTAAATAAGACAGAAAATCCAGCAGCTGTATATTAAAAATATTTTTTGATTTTTCCGAAAACATTCCATAATTCGAACATCTTCTTGCAACAATTAGCTCGAATTACGGAGATTGCACTGTAATTATATTACCGATTGCTAAAACTTTCAAAAAGAAACTATTGAGGAGTACTCGTGTAATTTTGCATGATTGAATATTTAACTACTAATAACTAAAGTCATGATTGGCGTAATTTATCTATCTTTGCTAACTACGAGTACAAAACTAAAATTGAACTTTTATCCAGCACTCTCAAACAAAATAACACTGACTCACTATAATTTGTGTGATATACTATCTGTTTATATTTTTTAAAATATTTTCTTAGCACCTTCCTTTTCAAGATTTAGGAAACGAATAAACGTATTTGTCCCACATTCGTATTTATAGAGTGACGAATTGAACAAGTCAGTGCAAGGTAGCGAAGCTCTGAAACTGCGACTCTCAGGTTTTTACAAGTTCAAAATGTATTGCGACCACAAAGCGAATACCAACATCCTACAACTTACACAATTTTATAAACATATATACTAAAATTTTTTACTTCATAGGTACTTTTATAAATAATGTATATGTTTTGATATTATAAGATAGTATGATGTAAGTAAATAGGTACCAGCAGTGTATGTGTTGAGATCCACTATCGTGGACCCCCATATTCATTTCATGGGCCCCCAAATTTTTTTTCGCTGACGTAGAACCCTTGCAGGTTCTCATAGACCCCTAGGGGTCGATATAGACCACTTTGGGAATCAATGGACTAAACACTTCGTAATTGAAATTATATTAAATTTCCATTTTTCCGTCCGTCATTTTTTTTAGACACGATTCTTTTATAGTATAAAAGTTAAAAACAAACAAAAATTAATTTTCTGGCTTATGCGTGGAAAATAAAAAATCAATAGAACATAGAAAATAGCGTTAATACCAACCAGATTAACAAAACTCCGCTTGTTCACTTCTCAGCCAAATTTTGTTGCGAACTCTGGACTGGTACAGAATGTAGACACTAGACTAGACCATAAAAGACTAGACTATACATGTTCCAACTAAGTTACAGATTTTTTTATAAGACGTTTACCTTATACCACTTTTTCAAAGACTGCTCGAGTCGTCTGGGGGGGAGGTTAAATTACCCCCTTTACCACGCTGTGGGAGCGCCAGTGGCTCTATTTGATTTAGCTACTTTTTTTCAGTAGTGGTGTTCACTATAGGGTCCTCGATTGTCTCTCAGTGGTGATTTTGTGTTTTAGTGTTGTGACGTGGGTGTCATGTGTTCTCAAACATAACAGCCTATCAAAATAGCAATGGTAGCAAAATCGTCCGATGAGCTGGCAACGCCGCAATCCGAGTGACAAGAATGACAAGGTCAACTTTCAAAACGTATGTCTATCCCGGGGTAACGACGGAGTCATTTAGGTAGTCAAAGCGGCAGTTTTCCAATCTTCATTTGCATATTTTTAAGTGTTATGCAGCGATTTCGAGAAAAATTTAGCTGCGGATAGTCTTCTAGAGTCTAGTGTTATCTTTACTCGGACCCGAACCGTCCCGAACCCCTTGACTGTGAGATTCGATCTATTCGCTAGCGAACGCACAACTCTATTAATAGTATTGCCATCTGCAAGTTGACACTGACAGAAAAACAAATACATAACCTCAAATTTTCGGATTGTCTTGTGCTTGCTGTTTTCAAACTTACATCTCGATTTCTCGACTTTCAAATTTAAAGTGTTGCCATGCGTTTGTCTTGTAGTGTAGCTAGCTTTCCTAGGTAGAGTGACAATTCCACATCGAAAAAAAGTGAGTTGATCATTTGTTATATATTGTAGGTTATATATTATGTATTATCTCTTTGTATCCAAGTAATTGAGGACAAGTGGATCAAAAAATATGATGAAAAATGCAAACAAATTTCAGGGCAATATTTTTCATATATCCCATGATTCCCTGAAACGAACCTTAAAAATGTTACCTAACAATTTATATACATTATTTCTGATTGCATTGTACTTTATTCTTAATACTTTCGCTGTGCTAAATTCTATTTATGTGGACATTCATTTTAAACTTATCTTATTAATGTTTAGTAAATTTAGTTACCTTATCAATTTAAATTGAATAAAATTGTAAATTTGAGCTTGTCCCATAAATGTATGAATAAATAAATAATTGAAGAGGTCATGAAACAAAATCATTGTATAGGGAACATTTTTTTTAAACTTGGGACTTTTTACTTTACTGATAAGCAATCACAGAATGAAAGAATCACTCCTTAAGGTTAATTTAATGCAAAAACAATTTAAAAAAAATGTATACAAGTTTTCAGATGAGCTCATCCATAACAGGGAGTATGTTTTGTAAACAGAAATTTTTGAGAGAAAGGAAATATGGCCACTGGCAATCGTATAATGGTTACTGTCCTCGCATGGTAGTACCATGATAAATGCCCAAAAGATGGAGTGGTGCAACTAGAAAGCAATTGGAGACAACACACCAATCAAAATGGGGCATTAAGGAGCTTGAAAGAACAGATAAACAGCATTTGTAGGATCTAATTTGCCTCTAACAGTCGATCCTGAAAGTTGGTTGGCAGCTGGCGCTGCAGATTAATTGGTTGGGTTGGCTCCACAGAGTAGAGGAGATGCGGGTTCGGATCCCGCCAGCGCCTATTTTCTCTTTCTCTCAAGTTGTTTACATAACATTCTTGCTGTTGCAGATGCGCTCATCCGAAAAATCGTACATATATAGATTTGTATGTGCAGCATTTTTAATAGGTTCAAATTATATTTATTGCAAAGAAAACAGCAAATTTGCAAAAACTATTTTTGGACCTTTTATGACTTGAGACACAAGATTATTCACTTTGCAGGTGGTCAAAACAATGATTCATGCAAATTTCAAGCTTATCATCTTTCATTCCGAAGTTTGCTCTTCTATCATACTATCTTACTGGATTATTAATCCTTATTTTAGGGTTTTAATCGGAATTTCATATCTCTGAGTCATCAAGTTCTGTATATTATGGATGATGACTTTATTGACCTTACTAGTGATGATCAGAAGGCTGATAAACCCAATAAACGAAAAAAGAACAGTTACACACTAGAAGAAAAAATTGTTGGGGGAGTTTGGTACCATGAAAGATTGTATACTAATCTCACATATAGAGAGATGCAAGATAATTTCAAAGTACGATTCAACAAATCACCTCCTCAGTTTCACACGTTTCGTGATTGGGAAAAGGCGCTATTTAATAGTAGTCTTATGGTCAGATCCGGTCTACATAAGAAAAGAACTAAGAAGCAATACTTGCAGGTACAGTGGTTTTCATTGATATTTATTTTTTGAACCAGTCAGGCTAGCACATTGAAACTCAGTATGATGAAATTGATGCATGAATGCTTATATACCAGGAAAACTAGCAAAATCAGAAACAAAAAACCACCACAGTAGTTGATGTTTGACTGAGGACGCAGTTATCGAAGTGAGTACCGGCTACTGTGCATGTGCAGGATATCTGATGTTATAGCACGAAAAAACATACCTGCAGATTCAAGCGGCCGGATCTTAGACTATTAGGAAAGTGCTCATATGGCGGATCTGTCACTGCGTTGCCAGATGGGTCGCACAGAATTGCCCCTGAGCAGGCACAAAAATCTCTCAGAATTGCTCCATTTTAAAAAAAAAATCACCTAAATCACCGTTAGGTAACGGAAAGGTTTAAGTTTGGTTCAAAGATTGGGGAATGCTTTTATTCCGCGAAACATGGTTTCTCCCAGAACATATCCCCAAAAATTTCTTAAGTAAAAATCCCCCGAATTTGGGGGAAAACATGGCAACCCTGTCAAAGCACCAACGGTACTCCAAGCGTCAAGTTTCGGTGTCGTTTCTACAGCACCAACAGCATTGTCGTAGTTTCTCTAGGTATATAGGCTCAGTGCTTGATACTATATTTCATTGTAAAATCAAAATATGTCATTGTATACGTCAAATCCGACACGGAGCTTTGCTTTATCGTGCTATAGCGGGCGGCCCTGATTTGATTATGTGTAAAGCAATCCAATCTGAGTTTCGATTTTTGTCCTTTCCCTTCCTTCAATAGGCATGCACATGCACCTACAAAATTTGTATGGGTTAGTTCACGCCTTTATGGTATGTTGTGGTAACTTTATCTTCCCAAACAAATGTTGATGAAAATAGCATAGACCAAAGGACTGAGAAGCGTCATGCTGTCATGCTGTCACACGATGTCGGTTTTGTCCGGCGCGCGGCGCTCCCTTATTTTGGCGGTTCAGTTGATGCTAGCTATTGAAATGATGGAGACGGCGAATAAGAAGAAGAAATAGGGGGTTTTGAATTCACCCATTGCTTCAGAATCAACATACTTCTGGGTCCTTCAAAGTTTTATTCAATTTATTGCGGATCAGTACACGTACGTCTTTACGGTCCAGTGACAGATCTAAGGTTGGCGCATATTCCTAAATACCCGACACGTTATATGCTCGAAGTAGTTTCATTCATATAGGTATTATGACGTATCAGAGTAATTCATCATTTATTTTCTAGTATAACAACTCACTGGTTATTTATTTGTTCCTTTACATTTTCTTTATCACAATCTTTACAATGGGAATACCCTAGGTACTGTATTGAGGAGATTGGCACATTCTGTTCATTATCAGTCCACTTAAGGCAGGAACACTTCTTGTCACGAAACGTGAACTCACCAACTGTAACGTAAATTAAAAATACGTTGAACTGAATAAAGGATTTGTCTTTAGAGATATATTACGAGTATTATCATGTCATCCATCCATGCATCTCTTAATCTACTTATTTATATTTAGATACGTGAGTTTGCGTGACATTCAGAAGTTGAGCACAGTGCTTAACTTCAGCCCCTAATAGTGAGAACGTAACCAGTGGTTGCACACTGTCCGGTGGAATAAAAAATATTTTGCAGCAATCGTAATCAATCCATTCCAGATTATTTACTTTCTCTCGAACATTTGAACGTCACGGTCTACTCAACCAGTTACCAAAAATATCCTTTGCAGATTCCATACGTGAAAGAGTCCTTCAGATCACATCCAAATCTACCAATGTTACAAAGGGCTGCTTTACTAGGTATACCCCAAACCGTACTGTATACTATGTTAAGGGATGATTTTACACCAGAGGAAATTGAAAAGCTGAAGCGAGAAGGACAGAAAGAGTCAAGAACGGAGAACCAGGAACAAGATTAATCTATGAAAAGCCCCTAAAGGGGAGGGAATAATTATACGTGATGTGATAAAGTTTGTTCTAAAAGAAAGAAAATTTATACCTTTACCAAGAGGGATACTGCGTGAATTGTCTTTGAAATCCGCCTGCCGGCATCAGTGACCTTGGGCACAGCTTGGATAACAATCAGCTATGAAACTCTCCTGTCAGTGTCAAAAACGACCGCCTTTTCGGCTTAGTATATCGAATGTAACTTCCTCCAGTACAACAGTGAAAGAGGTTTCAGAGTTCCGAAATGAGTACCTAGTCCTAGTCGGTGTTACCGCGTACCATGCTAGCAGCCGCAGATACGCGTTGCAATCGTAAAAACGATGCGACGGAGTATTGATGATTATTTATGTACGAAAAAGCTTCAGAATAAATTTGTAATGGTAGAAGGCTATCAGTATTTACAATAAACGGAAATATATTTACTTTTGTTTGCTGCTTCACATTTTAAAGCAGTAACATTTCTTTAAAATTTTGCTATGATGGTACCATAGAATTGGGAGCATATGAAGGTTTTAGTGAGAGTTCCAAGAAACATTATTATTCTTTTGGACAAAAACATCATAGGGGGGTCCGGTCCGTGAAATATGATGGCATTTTCGCAAATTTGAGCATCACTGCCTGTAGCTTAGCGCCGCGAGGCGTACGTACCCTTAGTCACGCGTTTCTATACTTTGGTCAGCGATTGAAATCCCATCCGGCCCCGAACGTTTTTACGTTTTTTCGTTTTTTTGTTTCTCTTTTGAGTTATTTTATTCTGATCTATTTCAAAATCAACTCGTTTGAATATTTATTAGCTTATAGCATTTGATGTTTAGATTTATAATTTGTTCCACAAATCCGAATAACGGAACGGGTTGCGCCATCCATCATCCAAGGATTAAAACTGGTTTTCGTTTGATGATTATCCAAAGGCTAAACCTGGTTAGAATAACTGATTTAGAATAGGTAGCGCCAATTGTCAGGGCTTTTGGATAATATTTGCACTTTGCTATCATATGGTCATAGTTAACAATTTTGCCACTTTTGGACCAATTTGAATGTCATTTAATATAAAATCATAATTATGAATACAATGTATTAAATTAAATAATTAAATACCAGTTATCAATCTATATTCATTATGTTACCTCATTATATCGTAACCTGATAAATGAGATGAAATAATGTTATACTTTTTAATTGTTCAGGCACTGTTCTCGTAGTAGTAGACTTATATTTTTGCCATAGATGAATTATATATACGAATTTTATTGAAATTTCCAGTCTCTTGATCTAGTGTGTGTAGCAAGTTTTGAGCATATACTTCGTTGTTCTTTCATAAATAAATGAACATAAATGTTGACCAAACTTGCTCCTTTTTATTATTGGTTCACAAAAACTACTCAAGGTTATATCGGAATATTATAATTTTTACAATTGAACCCATATCTGTCGCCGCTAGCGCGGTAAGCGGTAATACCTGTTGAACAGCGGATTTGGGGAACAAATTACACCAATTTCTTCAAAAAATCTAAACACCAAAATTTGGTGGTTAGATTTTTTTAATGCTATAAACTAATAAATATTCATACGAGTTCTTTTTAAAGTAGGTCACAATAAAATAATTCAACAGAGAGAAAAAAGAAAACATTGTTGAATGCGGATGGGATTTGAACTGCTGGCCCAAAAATGCAATAGGAGCGCGTGGTTAAAGGTATGTACACCTCGGGAGGCTAGGCTACAGACACTGATATTCAAATTTTGCGAAAGTGTCATTATATTCCAAGGACCGCACACTGTTATGATGAAAAGAAAATATACGAAAAGGAATAATAACGTTTCTTAAAACTTTCAGTAGATGTTCACTTGGTCTCAAAATGAAATGTGGGGGCAAATTCTTTGATACCAAAATAACATCATTTTAAATGAATTAATTTATTCTACTTAAATATATCAAACAAACGTAAACATTTTTCCGTTTATTGTAAATACTGATAGCCTTCCACCATCACAAATTTATTCTGAAGCTTTTCCATAAATAAATAATTATCAATACCCCGTCGCGTCGTTTTGGACAAACATGCTCCTTTTTTATTACTGGTTCACACAAACTGCTTATTAGCTCATATCGCAATAAAATAATTCTTACGATTGCAACGCATATCTGACGCCGTTAGCATGCTACGTGGCAACACCGCCTAGGACTACTCAGTACGGAATGGTGAAACCCCCTTCATTGTTGGGGGAATTGACATTCGACATTCTCCGCGTTTCATAGCTGATTGTTATCTAAGCTGTGCCTAGGGTTTGAACTGCATTACTGGTTTATAACAATAACAACAATAACACAGAGTTCTATAAACGAACAGCACGTGGCTTGGCAGTTCGGTGTTGGGTTGATAATTCGCTCATAGATTGCTCGCCAACTGTCCAGGAACCGCCATTGGTTTGGCGGTTCGCTTATAGATGGTTGAAGCGTCTACCGAGTAAGTGACTATGCAATGCTGCCAAAATGACAGAACATTTTCAGAAACTGCTACATTTATCCTGAGCTGAGTGAAGTACAGTCCTTTTGATGGTTGCTAGCTCTTGCACATATACACACATGAATTGTATGACAGGACTGTTTTTTACATTCACTTTTTGAAAATGATAAAAACAATTCAACACAGATTGACGACATTATAGTTGTATCTTCAGATATGTTTTATATTGCAAATCAACAAGAGGTAAACTCAAGTCGCATGACGAGAAAATCTTAAAGGCGGCGAGACAAAACTAAAAAACATGTATTTGAGCGTAAATAAACGTCCGCCCATAGAAGCCTATTCACATTTATTGTTGCTTATTGCGTGCATTCATTTCCCCAAAATATGATTGCTAGATCTAGTAACTAATTAGGCTTCTAAGAATACTATGGGATCCAGTGGTTAACGTGAAATAATCTTTTGTGACTGTGCTTGCATAAATATTTTGTATTTTAGATGGACCACATTGAATGAAAAATATATGAGTAGATGTTCATACAAAAGAAAATTTGAACAATGATTTAATCTAAAAAGGATTATCACTTTGGCAACACTGCATGCGTCACTCGAAAAATAAGTGGTTAGTCACCATCAGCTGTTTTGTGGACTCGGTATTACCTTTAGTTTGACCGTTCACCATTTTATCCCTCTCTAACTTCTTCGTCTTGTCTAACTGTCTTTTCTTGATATAACCGCTCTTTGCATATACCATTTTTGTAGTGTAATCATATGAAGGTGTAATAAAAGAATAATTCTGTTCTTGAAAATTTTATACTAAATTTTTATACTAAATTTCGTACGAAATCATGCGCATTTGGTAGAAAAAAATTATAACTGTCAATGTCTAACTGCCAGTTATCACGTCTAAGTCATTATAACCACACTACTTTGTGGCTTGCTACTTTATTCCTTTATTACTTTAAACGAATAGAAAATTGTAGAAAATGGAGCGATCCTGCAATTCGTATATATTGTATGCGACTGCGGGAGCAGCGACTTGCGTTGTAGCTGCCCACCTCATAAGAAAACGAAGTAAACGAAACCGTAGAAGAATTTAGTGCCGGAAATAGATCAGGAAGAGGGACCGGCACAGCACGGGTATGTTGTAAAAAACCTGTAAAACGTCAAAAAAAAAAAACTATAAAATGTCATCTTGCGGACTAGGTAGTTTTTAGGGTGCAAACAGTGATTTCACGTTTGCTCACTAGGATCGTTGTGTGCGTTCATCTGTGGAGGAATGGCTCAACTACACGCATTGTTGGTTGCATATGTCTTGTGAAGCTGAGTAGTCTACAGTTTTCATCTCTGAGAAGAAAGTTGGTTGAATAGCAAGATCGCATCTGGGTGATTATGTGTATTGGTCTCCATGTGTATAATATCAGTGATATTTGCTATGTGAGAAAATTATTACTGAATATGCTGCCAATGAAGTATATCTATTAGCTATGCCCGACGGGCTATTTATATGTTGTCCTTTCTGAATACAGGTTATGTTCAAAGTTATAAATTACGATTTTCCCGTTTGTTTTTTGTATTTTCAAACACTTTGAGGAGCATTACGGGAAATCGCCACCGCGCCCGCGATACGTGCAATTAAGCCACATCACAGAAAAATTGGGAATGACGCATCACACATCAAACTTTGTATCGACATCGCAAAATAAATTTCTATAAAATTCAAATGACTAGAAATAAAAAACAATGTAATAACCTTTTCACTTTTATAAATATTCGTCTGTAGCATATTTTCTCATCTGTTAATTCGCAAACAAAGGATTTTCTTTTCTTATCTCGCATTTTTGAAATTCAGCAAATTTGCATATGTAATTTCCAGAATGAATAAGAAAAACTGGATGCGCAACTAATGTCTAGCTTTGAATCTCAAGGAAGTGTATTTGAGACAGGAAACCAATGGAAGATTTTACCTACATACTGTAAAAAATGACATATGTTACTCTTCAAGATACGTAATACCCCTGCGGGGCATGGGTGAGATCCAAATACTGAATAAAGAACTCCTAGTGGAGGATCCACGAGCTTAGTCATTCTGATACTCGTTAAGTAGTATGTCACACTGCTCTGTTGATCATGACACCTTTCAGAACAGAACAGAACAGCTTAAGCACAGGAGCTTAGCTAAACTGATGAACACAACTGATAACATCAATTAATAATAGTGTTTGAGGTTAGGCGTGTTTTTGTCAACCAATTATCATCTTATCTAATCATCACAAAACATCAAGGAGTTGACACAAAACATGTTATTCCTCGACACGTAGCGCCTCTATCAGCCATTGTAGTGCTCCAAATGCGTAGTAGTCCTTTGCGCACTATTAGTACGATATTATTTAGAACAGTTCTCAAAAATTTAGCACTAAATTTGTTCGTACAAAATTATGTTCTAAATGCTGTCTGACACTATCCTTAATTTTGTATGAAATTTAGCGTACTAAATTTAGCACGAAATTTCGAATCGTGACAGACGGCGTTTATCGACGGGCACCTACAGAACGTCAACTTGACAAGCACTGCCCGTGCGCTACATTCATCATTCTTTTTTCTATTTGACTGCATCTTCCAAAAAGTGCATTTACTGCACAAAGGTCGGAGAGATTGGTGAGAAGAGCAAAAAATCAGGTTGGAATGTCAACAAGGAGACTGGTTCGTCAATACAGATCTTCTAAGAGTACGATATCGTTGGAATTGAGGAGGAATGGTCTTAAATATCGAAAGAGACTTGAGTGCCCCAATTGAAGTGGGCATACTTTGCCAATAGAAAAATCATCATTTTTAGATGACAAAAAGTATTTCACTTGAAGCTTTGAATAGTCAGAGCTATATTGATAGCTGCCTTTCCAAATTCCTCTAGTTTGTCAACGAACATCATGCTAATGACCATATCATGTTGTGGCCAGTCCTAGCATCACGCCATTACTCAAGAGATGCCCAAAACTAGCTTCGACAATACAACATACCTTGTGTTCCCAAAAACGATAATCCTTCAAACTTGGCGCAGGCTAACCCAATAGAGGATTTTTGGGCTTTACTGTTTGGGAAGGTTTATCATGGAGGCTGGGATGCCCAATATGAAGAACAATTAACACGTCAAATTTACGAAAAACTGAGAGAAATTGATCTGAATTCCGTCCAGGACCTCATCAGAGACATTCGAAGAAAGTTATGTCTGGTAGAGCAGAATGGTCTACTTCAGATGATTCGATAATATAGTTCAGTGAAGTATTGAGTTGTAATTTATGATAACTAGTTGGTGTTTATCTAAATTTCTTCAATAAAAAAAACCGATAAATAATTTGTGCCAAAGCTTTTAGGACATACGTTACTACTTTTTTTGGTCTAGTAGAACAAATGAATCGGCGTTTGCAGAAACAACACATGTCCAAAAAAGTGATTTTCGTGGAAATGGAAAAAACATTTTAGTATTTGTTGAAATAACACTGTTTAACGGTTGGAAATCATAGTTTAAGGCGGCTGTAATATCTTCTATTTAATTTTGTTCAAAATAAAAAGAAAAACTTTGTACACCCTTCTAAAGAATTGGACATGTGAGCTTTCTGCATAGCGTAGGATGAAATTGAAATACTTTTGTCTAATGGAACGTGATTATTTATTACAAATTGAAAAAAAACATGTAATTTCTAATTCGAAGTAGTTGGCCAACTTAGTATTGAAGTATAGAATTCTTGATATTCATCTTCTACAAACGCTGCACATTTTCTTATGTGTTCCATTTTTGTCATTTTTATAGGGACTTTTCCCAATGGATAGGCCCGTTGAGAAGGTCACGCTACTGCAGTCTTCCCTAACTGTTGGAGTTTGAATGTGTGTTGGAAAGCTCCGTCTATAAATTGCGAAGCCTCGACGCAACCCTTTCTTTGTGTGTCGTAACTAAATTGTGAATAGGTACTTATATTGAAATGGACCTTTAACTTACGTGGTGTAATGTTGGAAGAAGTTTCCTCAGATATTATGTTTTTTTTGTATAGTTTTGGCCACCACTCTTTAAAGTTTATAATATCTTCTGTTTTTACTTCTTTAACTGTAAATTTATTCGACATGCTGCTCATTACAATCAATTCGGTTAGTTGATGAACCGTGGAGATTCTGTCATGTTTTTTTAGTTTTCTCTTCACAATAGCAAAGTCTCTATCGCAGGGAAGGAAAGAGTGACCTCTTATAGGAAAATAGTGTACGATTTTGAAAAACTGAGCACTATCTGTCAGTGCAAGAAGCATGCGAAGCAAAGTGTGATTCTTATTTTGTCCCCAGCAGTTGTCACTGTATAAGTGGATCTCATTTATATTATTTCTGGGAACATCCTTAAGGTAATCCAAAAGAAAAGAGCAAATCTGGTTGACAGTTTTCTTCGCTTGCCCTTCATGATATATATACATTCCTGCAGTATTTTCCTTAATATTATGTATACAAAACACCGAAATGGTCAGTTGCTGGTAATAAAAAACATCACCTACAGTTGTTTTTGGCAGCTGAACATTTTGCATAAAGTCGAAAGCTAAAGCTAAAATATTTTTTGAATCACAAGGTTCATTAGACTCGCTTTTCAGTTTTGCATAAAATTTTTTAGTTCGCCGTTTATGGACTAGCAGCTCTGCAACTGCTGCTTGTTTGGCAGTATCATTTAAGTGCGTGTTTTTTATTTTGTTGCTTAAAGTCTCACATGTTGCACACATATCAATTTGAGGGCGTCCGAATCTCAAAGAAAAATTTTCTCGAAAATACTTTGTAATATGGGTAGCTGACTTTCAGTGTGGGGTATTTTTACTTAAATAAGTCGTACATAATCTTTAAATTCAGCTCACTATTTAAGTACTTAACTTCTCGATTTGCATAATGGCTTAATTTAACGGGAAACGACTGAATGTGTTCTCGAACAGCAAACTGAACTTCTTCGCCTAGTTTATTACCACTTGGATTTTTTCCACGTAAGTCTCTAGGGGATTTTCCTAGCACGGCAAGATCTTTAAGTCTTCTGGGTCGACCCAAAGTTATACCATAGACTGAGATAAATGCTTTCAAACAAACTTCAATCTTGTCTGAACCTTTGAATGTGTAGTATTTAAAGGTATTGGATTTTGATTTAGTTCCCACCTCAACCCTAGCGCGCCGCCGCTGTATACTTCGAACCTGTATCAGTCCTTGCAGAAATATGTCCTGTTGATCCTTAGATTCAAGAGAAATAGCGCACCATATTTGATTGCAGTTCTTCGTTGGAGAATTTATCAAAACATTTTGCTCGACAGCTAAAAGATAAGAAAACATTTTTCAGAAGTCAAGCAGAAATAAAAAGCCGTTCTAAAGTTACCTGCAAGCGGAGCCAAATATATTGCCAGGAATATTATTACCCTTGTAGTTTTTATGAGGTTCGCCTTTTACACGTGCCTTTTTAATAATGCTTCTTTGGTAGCAATCAGGATTTGCCCTCTTCTTTCGATGGGAAGAACTTTCGTCTTCAGTGGCATCCCTCGCGTACTAGTAAACACTACAGCGGACCACAAAACAACTACTGACGAGATCAGCAAAAAATAAAATAAGCAAACTCAATTTTTTACCAAAATAAGGTTCTCTCACATTTTTTGATGCCAGCGATTAGACAAGGAGAAAATCATTTGCGGTAGATGCGCATGACCAAGAAGACCGCTACCGATATAATTTATTCCGCAGACTATTGTCCAAGCTACTCATGGTTTTCTATTGAAGTATAACACGAACACGTGTTATTTTTTCGTAGTTCGACGTAAATATCTATCTATATATTTGTGATTTCCGGTATAACCCCATTTTGTACAAAAATGGACATGTGTCGTTTCTGCATACGCTGATTCAAATATTAACTATTTGAGACCTACTTAAAAAAGTGTCAACTAGCCTATTACCAGTAACCCTGTATAAATTTTCCGCTGTGTATTGATATCGTGAACCGGAAATAACACACCCGTTACCTACATATCAACTGTTTAGAGTTTCAACAATATGGCGGTCGAGGCTGTATCCATTAATGATGTAGTGAAGCCTTAAACGGAAAGTATTCATATATCAGCTATATTTTGACTATATATAGGCAACATTGTCTACAATGTGTAGACATTTACCTGACCCGAATATCTCATCAGAGGACTACAAAAGGAGGCAAGAATGTTTGACAAAATTTTACAGATTGCAGCAGATTACTTACATTATACTACATTAAGCAATAATTTACATACATGAAAATAGTTCTGAAATGTCAAAAAGTATGGTCGGGCTAGAAAATATTGCCCGTTTAGAAGCGCTACAAGTAAGTAGATGTATCCTCCCTAACAAGTATGGATGGGAAACCAAACCGTAGGTTGATCGAAATGGACACGTATCACGATAATTGGTTTCTTGTGTCTTATCTATTTAGATAATTTGGTATCATAGCTGGAATACCAAATAATAGTGTATTTTATTCCCCAATATTTATTTCAACGCAATATTAATGTTTTGTCTCCAAAAACTAGTCTGAGTGATCCCTTTCTTCTATTAAAGAGAATGCTGAAAGTTGCCATCAACAGTTCAAATGTAAATATTCGTTAAAAATGAGCTCTCATTAGAATGTGACGTGACTGTTGCTAATTCAGGTTAAACTTCCGTCCGATAGGAACACGCAAATTGCGTTCAGAATCATGTAAATCGATGATGTCGGATATGCTGACGATTAGATCCTCTCGAGATTCAACCTTAGACTTCGATAAGGAAGCTCATATATCCCTCGTTCTGCATAAACTAACAACACCCTACTTCACGTGTATGCATCACGCTTTGACGTCTACAGACGTGAACAGCTGATCAGCTAGTGACATTTTTGTGTTCGTCTGCAACGTTGGCTATAATGAATCGGGTGCAAATCTAGCAAAAAAATTGTTTGTAGCATTTTGTTTTTTGTATGCAAATTTACTTTTCTACATAAAAAAGCTTTTAGCAAGTACAAAATGAATCTATGGCGTACAAAAAAACAAAATAAAATATTACTAGATAACCAGCTTTCATTCTACCGTGATGGATACTCGTGAAATATGGTTTACACAATGTCTTCTTAATAACGGTGCTGAACATAACCTAAACCATTGACTAACATATTCGCCAAGATATCCTCTGCTGTGTTCGATGATTACATACAATTTCCAACGTCACGTAAGATTTCTCAATGACAAAAAAGGTAAATCCCATTACCTGCGAGAGGTGGTTAAGCACTGTTTAAAAAAAGAGGGTTAACATGCCTATCGTGCTGCACGTCTCTCGCTTCTCTCTTGTACACATTGAAATCCGGGCGACCTCAACTGTAAATGAGTCGCACAGTATGCCTTTTTAGAAATACAATGATCTTGAGCTTGCAGCCACAACAGAGCCAGAACGAAAATCTGTTCTTTGTTCATTTTTTCGATCAAGACGCACTACAAATATAATTGCATGAGTATTTCGATCAAATACAATCATTGAAAAATTGCTTACTACGGTGAGAGTTTCTTTCGAGACATGCGGTCAAAAAAACATGCGAAAAACAATTCATTACTCAGCCTCACAAATAAAATCGAGATCCTGAGGCAGACTAAGATATCCCTATGCATTATTTGGCGCTGAATCCTAATCTGGGATCAGAAAAGTTCCTAGAGGGCTAGAATTCACCCCCGGGCCAAAACTACCCCTAAGAGGGGTGAAAATTGAGTTTCGGGTGCCAGATGCAAGTTCGCTCCCGGGAACAAAAACTACTCCTAAAATAGAGTATTCTTCACTTCCCTGTTGTATTGTCGAACGCGTACTTCGAAAGTCTGATGCTTTTTTTCCTGCTGAACCACAGAGCCCTATGGTCTTGACAAGACTTGACTTGGGACATGCATACGTGAAATACCATATGTTATGTCTCAAAAACAAAATTTTAGGTACAGAATCATTCATGTAGTGCCAGCGTATACATGGATGGACAAAGAGAGGGATATACTGAAACAAATGTAAGTACAAGTACACAGATATTGTTGACCTCAAATTCGGATTCAGCGTCAAAAAATTCATAGGAATACGCTCCAGCAATTTATCCCATCTAGGGGTAGTTTTTGGCCTTGGACCCGGGGTTAAACACCATAGAGATCTTTTCGACCACAAATTCAGCGACGTAAAATATATGGGGATACCATGCTCCAGCATCTGGCATCCAAAACTCAATTTTCATCATTTATAGGGGTAGTTTTTGGGACCTGCGGTGAACTCTTGACGTCTAGGATTTTTTATGATCCTGATCCGTCTAAAAATAGATATATCATGGTTTGTCTGACGGACCTTGACCTTTTTCTCGGGGCTGTGTTATTGAACAACAATAACGCACATCTCGCAAATTTGGGTGTACCCGTCTCCCCGAAGGTACAGATTTAAATAATTTATTATATAAAATATAAATCATTATCTATCATTTTGTGTTGATTAAAATGATATTACACTCTGTGAGATGGAATGAATAATATTTTGCAGCTTTCGTTTTCAACGAATTCCAAATATTGTCTTTCCTACGAATATCTATCAATAAATGTCTTTTGCAGATTCCATATGTGAGAGCATCCTTCAGAACACACCCAAATCTATCTATCAGCAGAAGGGCTGCTTTGGTGGGCTTACCCAAAAAAGTACTGCGTGGTATGATTAAGGATGATTTTACAGTAGAGGAAATTGAAAGACTGAAAAAAGAGGGACAGAGTAAAGAAAAGGAAAAATAAGGGGCAAGAATAAACTCTACTCTACATACAACGTTGGAAGATAATTGATTGGAGGCTCATTGAAAAGCACGAAAAATATATGCGTTTGTGACGTGAAGTTTGTTCTGAAAGGAGCAATAATGCTGTGTTTGACATTTTTAGTCATATTGATTCGCATAAGCATGCAATTTTAGTGTTATGTGTACATATATTTTCTGTTTTATATAAAGTTATAATTAACGAATAAGTAATTTACTTCTCCTCCTTAGGTACTATTGCAGTGTAAGCCGATAGGAGCAGTATTGAAACAATACTTTTTTCCACAAAACATTTCATTTCATGGCAAGCAAAATATGTTTTTTCAGCTTTCCAAAAATGTTACTTTTGAGCCATTGTTATTGTATTGTGTAAATAAAGTAAAAATATTGCGTTGGGGCTGGTCCACTCTTGGCGATTTAAATTACCTAAGTGTTTACTATGCGCACCATTATGTGAAAACCTGAACGAGTTGCTTTGTGGTGTAATTCTCTTTATACAGTGTTATTCAATGATTATTTAAGAAAACCGATTTCCAGTGGTGTTCTTCAGGGTAACTGAGTGCATCGCGCAAGTCGTCAAGGGACAAACAAGTATTAGGATTGTTCGAAGAATTATACGAGAGATAAGTGTATATAGACACATGTTAGAAATAAATACAAGCCGGCTGGATAGCCTAGCCTAGCAATGCTGACGCGGCAATCTGCCGGGTTGCTGATATGTTACACCAGTTCCAATAATGGTTTTATTTTGCGCGTACACATTTTTGATTTGGAAGTGTGTCGCATCTGTTTAGTATCGATTCTGAGCCTATTGTAGCAGCCATTGCGAACATTTTCTGGTGTAACTTATTGGCAACGCCGCAGATTGCACGACCTTCCGCGTCACAGTTTTTAGGCAATGTGGTGATGACTTTCGCTCTTCAGAAGGCTTTTATCTCTTTGTGTATGTGAGACTTCTCGCGCTTCTCTCTCGTACACATTGAACTCAAGCCGGCAGACAAATTTGGTTTTGCCTGTGGAAATGAAGCACCTGAAAAAATAAAGTGATGTGATATCAAACTGTTTTTGACGTGACAGTAAATGTCTGTCTTTACTTAGGTTGTTAGATTTTCTTAACCTAAAGGGCACGCTTAAAAAATGCGGGATTTGATTGTTGTTACCCGGGATAAATAAAAAACAAAATTATTTAGAGACATTTTCATTTATTTTTTAGTAATTATCTGAGAATTGAGTTAGTTTTAACATATTCCTACTTAACACATTTTGTTAAAAACGATCATCAACTCGCTATTAAGTTGGGGGTACATTTATTTCCACCAGTCCACCTGAATACCGTGAAAAACCCGTTCTACGAAATAACTCAAAAAATTAAAAACGCATGATAACATTTGGAAAGTGCTCTAGGGATTAGGATATTGCACCCATACTCTTACTATCAGAAGTTATGTAAAAAAATCCAGTCTTATTCTGATCATTTGGTATTCTTCATACAAGAACAAGCAATTCATGCATACTTTTTCTATCTTGAAAAGCTCCGCAGTTTTATGATAATTGTGGTATTTTATTTCAAATTTAAAGTTTAAAAATAGTATCTTGGTGTGAAACACCAGGTAGCCTGTAAAATTACTGTAGAACTGTAGAAATCATCTACGCATTATGTCTCTCTCTTGCCTGTTAAAAAACTTGTCTTTTGTTCTTTGCTGTTTATCAAAAACATCAAAAGGACAACTGTCGTGTGACAGCAGAACCTAGTAAGTCGACTTACTAGGTTTTACATTTTTACGTCATTTTTGAAAAGCCCGTAAAAAGTTCTACTAGTTGAATTTTTTTCTCTCGCTCAGACGCACTCTAAATCGTATATCTTTGTCTCATGTTTCCTAGTAAGTCATCAGAACAGCATTTAAAAAATCAACAAATGATGGCATGTCTACATGCTACGTTTTGAAGATTTTTTTTTGTAGGAAATTTGGCGGGAGACTCCGTCGTAAACGCACTTGCTAGTTTTTGCTAAATTTTCATGCCATGATTTCAAGCCGATTGAGTGTAGGCACGGATGCATGCTACAGCGTTTCCGCAGTCATGTTCCAACTGGCATAGAGTGTGGATCGGTGAGGACAGTCGCGAATTAGTTTAACGTTAGTACTGTAGTTAATATCCAGAATATGTCGAGAGGAAAATTCATAACGAGTTTATGCATTACAGAGAGGTGAGTGCAAGCATCATACATTACATATAAGCCAAATGAAATATTAACTCAGGAGTAACATTGCAGTTTGATGTTTTTTTTTCAGTAAAATAAAAGATTATAATTACTACAAACAAAAAGCTAATTCTTGCAATACGGTTTTCGTATTTGAAATATATATTCAAACCGCTGACCTCTATTTATTTTATCTTTCAGAAATGAACCTCTGGAAGAGCGTCAGCAACATGATGAAGAACCTATATCAGATTATGACGATTCTGATGCAGACCCAAATTATGAGCCGTCAGTATCCCCTAGAAGGAAAAAAATTAAATTTTCGGACTTTGATGACGTATCGCTTGCGCCCCTCAAAAACAGGCAGCCTTTGAAAAAAGTCAACGAGAATGTGAATGCAAACTGCAGAGTTTCCCAAGAAAGGCCAGACAAGCAAGAAAAGCACCCCCTACTGCTATCATGCCATAATAATTGCAGGCAGAAATGTAGCTCAAAAATCAATGATGAGAACTTTAGAGAATTGATAAGAACGAAATTCTGGAGACTCAGCTTTGGCGAGCGTAGACTTTTTTTGGATGCTCATATCAAACAATTTGAAATCAAAGTAAGGCGGCAAGAGGCTCAGCGCTCTTCCAGGAATGTTTCTCTGAAATATTTTCTACCCCTTCCAGTGGAAACTGAAGCTAAATTTGAAAAAATACAAGTGTGCAAAACAATGTTTTTGCATACTTTAGGACTTAAAACAGATGGTATGATAACTTGCCATATACATTCCAAAAAGCGAAGTGTAGAAGGAATTGCACAAACAGTGGATGAAAGGGGGTTAGTTATTAGAGGCATGCTAGAAGAACAAAAAATGAGAACAGAGGAAATTGTCATAAAGCATATAAACTCATTCAATCCGGTAGTATCTCACTATAATTTAAAGCACACCCCGAATAGACGATTCTTGCCACCTGACTTGACCATTAAATACATGTGGCAAGACTTCTGTAATCTACAGAAAATTTCATATGATCTATACAGAAGAATTTTTGAAAAACAGAATATTGGGTTTAAAAAGCCATCCCAAGACGAATGCGCTCAGTGTCTAAAACATAAAGTTCACATTATTCGCCAATGCGACGCAAGTAGTTGCAAGATTTGTTGTCAATTCGAAAACCACAAAAAAAGTTATATGGAAGCAAGACAGCACTATGAAAATGACTCCAATCAAGAGGTAATGCAAGATGAGAAGATCTATGCTGTAGATATGCAGAAAGTCTTACTCTTGCCCAAAATGTCAACCAAGGAATCTTTTTTTGTTTCAAGGTACTTCGTTTATAATTATATATAATTGTATTAAACTTTTATATACTTCTATATTTGTTGTTGCAGGTTGGTCGTATTCAATGAGACGTTTGTGTCACTTCATAAGGACGGAAATATTTGCGTGATGTGGCATGAGGCTATAAGAGGCAGGTCCGCGACGGATGTTGCATCGGCATACTACAACGTAATAAAAAATTCAGACAATGTTACCAAAAAATTTACATTCTGGGTAGACAACTGTTCTGCTCAGAACAAGAATTGGACACTATATTCTGCTTTTGCGACTTTTGTAAATTGTGAATGGGGTCCAGAAGAGATCACCCTAAAATATTTTGAACCAGGCCATTCATTTATGGCTGCGGATTCGGTTCATGGCCGAATCAGCACAGAAATGAAAAAACACCCAAACATTTATGATTTTGAACAGCTTCTGAAAATAATTGAGCAGTCCTCAAAAAAAACTAAATGTTTGCCTATAAATAATTTTGATTTTTTCCTCTTTGAAGATGGAAGCAAACAAATAAAAAGCAATAATATACCTCTTCTTGAAAAAATTAAGCTCGCTCAGTTTCGCAAAGGATGCAGACACTTGTTTTATAAAGAATGCCATAATGAAACTGTCTTTCAGGAAGTCGAGTTTTTGAAAAAAAAAGTTGATCTCAAATTCCCTATACATCCTTTTGTCGAGCCACTGGGATTGAACTCAGAAAAAAGAGAAACAATTTTAAAAAAATTGGTACCATCCTTCAAAGATGAAAGAAAGAAACTATTTTGGCAGTTTTTGCCATCTAATGATAATTCCAAAGACTTATGTGTGGTATCAGAGGCTTAGCGCTTAAGTTCTTGTTCTTCTTGTATGTAGACTTGCTGTTTTATGTTCCACCGTTTTTCATTCAAATGTTTATTTTCCAGTTAGTAAGTAGATATGTTACTTTTTGTGTTCCCCTTCGCACATAAATTATATCAAATAAAACCTTAGTAAGTACACTTACAATATCTTTTTTTTTTTATTTTCTCTAGTCGAAATTTTGTAAAAATCAGTAAGTTGACTTACCATTTTCTGCTAAAGTATCTTAATTTAATATCGAAAAAGAAACCATGAAAAAAAAAACGTAAGTCACTTTTCTACCATAAACAAAACTATCACATGAATAAAATTGATGCTATCGAATTTAGCAAGTTACATAACCCTTCAGACAATTTTTTTAATATTCATAAAACTTAAACTTTTCGAAAGCCGAATGTTTATTGAAAATATGTTATTTCTCAAACCTGATAAAAAGTGACTTACTAGGTTCTGCTGTCACACGACAGACAAATACGGGATATTTGAAATTAGTATGTCTATGTCTATACTTCTCGGGCGTCTTTTCAGGGGATCCAATGGCTTGATAACGCGGATGCGTTGAGCCAATTGTTTGGAAAATTTGCACTTTTCTAGCGATGATATATCGTGACACCAAAGTGATGAGAGCTTAAACGAACAATTTAAATGATTTTTATTTAGTAATGTATACAAGTGGAACATTGATAATCTACTCGTATGCAAAGTATATTATTATTGATTAACGTAGTCTACCTAAGGTTAGCTAACATGATGACATATTCGCGCTTCCGAAACATTATCCGAGATCAAATGAGATACCGTAGCGTCATCTATAAAAATTGCTCTTAGCTACCTCTCTTCTATTCGCAATATTTAGGAATCTACTTTAAACATTTAGTGTCACATAGTTGACACGACATATGAGCATATATAATTAATTAGATCGGAAAGGAGAAAGCCGTGACAAATTCTTATAGGTAAAGATAGATAAAAAAATAATCGATCAAAATTTATTGCCACATACTTTTAGTAACTTACTGTACATACATACTCCTATATGAAATGAAAACTATACTGTAGTTATAAGTAGAAGACTTTTTATTTGTAAAAGAAAAACACGAGTTCTTCATAATACATTCATGAGTTGTAGCTCAGAATATCGCTGTTATCGTTTTGGTTTGGGTTTTAAACTTATCTAATTCATTATTGTTAGAGATTCGTACCTGCGGTGCTTTAACGCAGAATGCCTACGCCAGAAAAACCACCATCGCCGATTCCTATTAGTAAGTAATACACTCGTTCAGTTTTACCAGAAGCATTTTGATTTATTTGTCTTTAGGGGTAGTTCCCATAATACTGTATTCTCACCCCAATAAACCTATGGATCAAATACAATTTATAATAAAGTGCGTTAGCAGGGAAAGATGCTACTAGAAAAAATTGAATGTGAGGCTTCTTAATCTATGCAAAAACTGTTTTTATTGAGTTACATCCTGCAAACATTGGCGTCCGCGAGCGGACGCCGGGAGGGGCCGTGGTTCCTCTGAAAATCTGTCAGTTTCTTAAAATTTGCATATTTATCATAGCTTTGTTTATCACATTTATGATTATTAAGACTTGGAGCTCTCTGAGGAAATTTGGTAACCCCTTTCTTCATTTTGGGGGGCTGATACGTAATTATAATATACCAACACTTTCCTCTTGTGGATGTTTAATGGGCTCCCCTGTGAACAATTCCTGCGGGAGCCCGTGTCTGCAATTACCTGATTTTCCACTGGACTTATGTAAACTAAAGAAATAACAATAGAGGCTTAAATTCTGATTCAGCCATGAAAAAATATGACTAACCACACTGTAATTAGTGAATGAGACTAAGTTTCAAAGAATTCAGTAGTTTATGTTGAGCAGATTGGAGTCTTGCATTTTATTCTTATAAAATGCAAGTCACATTCTCCCTAAAGTTCACAGTTATTTCGAGGTTATGGAAAACGTCAGATGCCATTTTTATTGACAAAGATTTTAGTCACTTGGACCCCCGATAATCCGGCCCCTGTCTAATCCGGCGCCCCCTGTAATCCGACATGTCTTTGAATATGTATTACATACATACGTATTTGACAATCTTCGCTAATGTAGATCACGCAGGTTTGAACAGGTTACAACTTGTACGCGCAACAGCTATCGTGCTCGACGCGTAAGCATTGTTTTACTTAGTTTGAATTTGACTACTGGTGATAGCGGTACGGCCTAGCGTGCGTTCATTGTTTACTATTTAATCATTGTGTATTAAGTATAGTACCTAGTAATGTCATCACAAACTCAGAAGCGAAAGCACAAAACATTGATAATTAAAGAAAAATGTAATATTTTAGACCACTTAAATCGCAATGAAACTTTCAGTAGTTTAGTAAGTGGATACGGCGTAGGCCGATCTACAATTTATGACATCAAAAGAAACCACGAGAAGATCAAGAAGTTCGTGTCAACTACTGACTGCGGGCCAGGTAAGAGGTAGACACTCAAGAAAGCTGAACATCCAGAAGTGGAAGAAGCTTTGTACATGTGGTTTCTTCAGGAAATAAATAGGCATGCACCAATTTCAGGATCCATGTTGGCTGGCCATGAAAGCTAAGCTTTTTTATCAGGAAATAATAAAAAAGGAGATTTTATGCCCAGCAACGTTCTAACGATGCCACCTGCATAGAGCCCTTTAAATTAAGATTTTTGCAAAAGGTGAACGATTTAAATCGTGACCCGTCACAGGTGTACAATGCAGACGAATCAGTGCATTTTGGCGTGTGATGCCTAACAAAACTTTCGTTTCTTGTAACGAAAAATCCGTACCAGGGCGAAAAGTAAGTAAAGAGCGTGTAACCATATTACCATGTGCTAACGCTGCGGGCACACACGCGCTTAAGATGATGGTCATTGGGAAATCTAATAAACCACGGGCACTCAAAAACATTGATTTACCTGTACACTATTACGGACAAAAAAGTGCATGGATGACAAAAGACCTTTTCAAGAAGTGGTTTGCTGAATGCTTCGTACCTGAAGTTAGAAAATGGTTAAAAGATCATAATTTTCCTCAAAAAGCGTTGTTGCAAAAGACCAACCAATAGAAAAAACTTTAAAAGAATTTAATATGAAGGACTTGGTTTTTGCTCTTTGTCAGTCGTGGAATGCGTTACCGTCATCAACTATTAAATCGACTTGGAAAAAGTTATGGCCAGATATAGTCACCACTCCTAGCAACATTCCATAAATCAGTGTTACTTCGGAAGTTATAGAACAAGTCGCTACTGAAACACAGATAAGTCCGGAAGATTTGGAAATCTGGTGCCGTGGAATGGATAAAGAGGAAAATGTATTTCATGAAATGACTGACGAAGAGATTATAAAAGAGGTTTCTAATTATACAACAAACAATCAGGAAAATAACGACGACAAGACGCAATTAACGCCTTTGAGCCAGGTTTACAATGAACTTTTACTTTGAGAAGACTGAGGGACAAAGCTCTGATCTCGCGTTATAACAACCTTAAACAAAAAAAAAATTGATGAATATTTCCAAGCTTCATAATTTGATAAATTCATTAATGATTTTGATTAATAATTCTTGATTATTTTGGTACATATGTATGTGCATTTATGCTTAATTTTATAATAAAACGTAATCTCTGTATTGTTATTTAACTTACTAAATTCGACATACATATGATTTGTACATACTTCAAAGTACATACATATACATAACATATATAATCTTAACATTGGATATGTAATTTGTCGGATTACAAGGTAAAAAATTCCGGACTATAGGGGGTCTTAGGCAGTCCTCTATAATCCGACAAATTCGATAGTCCGACACTGCCCTGCATAATGTTTGTCGGATTACCGGAGGTCCACTGTATTTTGCAAAAATGTTTATCGCCTTTTAGAAGTATGTTCGAAATGAAGAGGTCAATGAACAAAACAAAATTGATTTAGGATAGTGCAAATTATCACCCCTTGATTTTTGGACAGTTTTGGAAACACTCCGTATAATGTGGAACAGCCACATTAAATATTTTTATTTCGATTATGATTATTATTATACAGGGTTACAGGAAAAGTCGTGCTAGATCCGTTAAGGGCGTGTAGTACCCATCATTTCTGACTTATTTCATTATGAAACACCCTACCCTAAACTTAACCCTTTTCGAGATATTCAACTTTTAATGTTTTTATTGAAAATTGCCGATTTTTAGGCTACTAAATGTATTTATTTTTATTTTGTGTGTGTTATTATTACTATTATTGCATTTTAACATGTGTAATAAGATGCTTTAGGACGTCAATCATTAAAATAGTCCATAAGTTAATTGAATAGGCTGTAGTAGATAAGTGAATGTTAAGAAATTGAAAAAAATATCAGAAAGTTTATTTTTCTCTAAGGGATATCTAAAAAAAATATTATGGCAATTGTTCGGCAGATGTGTTTTAAAATATCTATGTTTTATCAGCTATCTAACGAGGTATAACAATCTAGGATTTTATTTAAATGCATTGAAAAAACTTAGTTTCATAGGCGACAGTGGAGAAGAAAATTGATACTTAGCCCTAAAAAGTAAAATAAAACAATAGGTAAGCATGAAATATCATTTATTAAATCAGGTTTTCACACAACTTTTTCTTACTCTACAGTTCATGTTCAACATGGCTGCCTCTGTTTCTAATACATTGTCGCATCCTTCTACGGAGACCAGTCTTTACAACTGCAGTGGTCAACGTTGTCCTTAGTTGATTTGCTGCATCGACAATCCTTTCTCTTAATTCTTCCACAGACGAAACTGGATTTGGCTCGCTGTAGACAAGACTTTTCATGCACCCCCACACATGAAAATCCATGGGGGTTAGGTCCGGACTTCTTGCTGGCCATGGCAACGGCCCACCTCGTCCTATCCATTTGTTTGGATAATTTGTGTCCAGCCAGTCTCTGACACTTCTCCTGAAATGGGCAGGGCAGCCATCATGTTGGAACCACATGTCCCTTCTCAAGTTGAGTGGCAGATCATCCAGCAAATCTCTGAAGTCTCCTCTCAAGAAGTTTTCGTAATTTTCCCCATTTAGATTATCCGGGAGAAAGTAAGGTCCAATCAAATGGTTGGAGATAATGCCCATCCACACATTCACGCTGAATCTTCGTTGGGACCTCGCCACTCTTTTCTTATTGGGATTCCTTAATACTTTTGGGGCCCAGTAATGGGCGTTGTGATAGTTAGTTATGCCATCGTTATCAAATTTGGATTCATCTGTCCATAAGATATTTCTTAGAAAATCTGGGTCTTCTACGTCAGCATTTAGCATAAATCTGCTGAAGTCCAACCTTCTCGCGGGGTCTCCTTCTTCAATAGTGTGTACCGGCGTGTAATGGTACGGGTATAGGCCAGCAGTATGCACTGTAAACCACACTCTCCATTGCGAAAGTCCCAGATCACGGGCAACACGATTAGTGGAAATGGTCGGATCCGCTCGAAAGCGTTGCACTATCTCATTGTCCTGCAGTTCTTCGTTGTCATAAATTCGTGGTCTTCCCAGGTCTGTATTTCGTCTCAAAACAGAGCCAGTTTCTCGAAGTCTTAGATAAACTCTGTTAAAAACGGCCACATCCGGCACTCGACGACCGGGGAAGCGAGTTCTGTATTCGTTGCGAGCTTGCGCAGATACACAATCGCAGTATCCGTAACAAATAAGCATATCAGCATATTCCTCAGGTGTGTAGGACGTCATCTTCAACACTTCCGTATCACAAGTACAAATCAGAGTCCAGTGAACAAGCACAGTATTCACAAATCAGAAGAAATAGTCCAGAATCGTAGCCAAGTCGAGGAAAAGAGCAAAACGATATCACATCTACTATGTACTAAGCACAAAAGCAGACTGACAACCAAAACAACATCCCGTGTTGGATTTCCAGCCCTAACCGGTTATTATAATATGTTTTCTTTCATTCGCATCCACATTAAATCGTCATGTCTCGCTCGCACGGTGCGTCTAAACTTGAAGGAGAATAGGCGTGGGAACTGCTACTGGAGCGTCCCAACTACTTTTTTTCTACGAAATGTAATACAAATCCTAGATTGTTATACCTCGTTAGATAGCTGATAAAACATAGATATTTTAAAACACATCTGCCGAACAATTGCCATAATATTTTTTTTAGATATCCCTTCGAGAAAAATAAACTTTCTGATATTTTTTTCAATTTCTTAACATTCACTTATCTACTACGGCCTATTCAATTAACTTATGGACTATTTTAATGATTGACGTCCTAAAGCATCTTATTACACATGTTAAAATGCAATAATAGTAATAATAACACACACAAAATAAAAATAAATACATTTAGTAGCCTAAAAATCGGCAATTTTCAATAAAAACATTAAAAGTTGAATATCTCGAAAAGGGTTAAGTTTAGGGTAGGGTGTTTCATAATGAAATAAGTCAGAAATGATGGGTACTACACGCCCTTAACGGATCTAGCACGACTTTTCCTGTAACCCTGTATAATAATAATAATAATAATATTTATTCGCCAAAATACAAAAAATGGGCAAATAAATATGAAAAAACCACAGAAGGCATCGCCTGTGTGTGGTTTATATCTTAATAACTAACAATCAATCATATATGTGTATAACAATTATTGTTAAATCTAAAAGGTATTAATGTAATTGGAATTTTGTAGTTTTAGTTTTCTATATAATTATGTATAGTCATTCGCTGCACATTACTAACCCAGTCTTTCAATTTTCTTCTAATTTTTTTTCCAAAATTTAGTATATTTATTTCGTTTGGCACTACATTATATAATTTAGCTGCTAAGAATTTAAAAGATTTTTTGAATAATGTTTTGTGTGGTCTTTGGATATTAGATGAGCCTATTCGAAATCGTGTGTTATGCTCGTGTTTATAGGATTTTTTTTTATTACAATACTTATGGTATAAGGTGGTGGCATGTAAGAAATAAAGTTGTCTTGTATCAAGTATCCCTGTTTCTTGATATAAGTTGTTCGTTGGATATAATCTTGGCTTATGGAAAATGGCTTTCAAAACAGTTTTTTGTGCTATATTCAGGTCAGAAATATATGTCTTGCAGGCGGCACCCCAGGCTGTGATGCCGTATATTATATGGGTTTCAACTAAGGCATGGTATAGGATTCGCAGATAACTTTCTGTAAGACTGTTAGCAAGCATTTTGAGTTTATAGGCAACATGTCTAATTTTTTTGATAACATATTTAATATGGTTATCCCACCTTAGATGTGAGTCTATAAATATTCCAAGATATTTCAGTGTTAACTCTATCGATTTTGGTCTTTTGGCCATGATAATTAACGGAAATTTGTTCGAAGGTAGGTAAAAATTTTGAATAGGATGTAAATGCAATAAATTTTGTTTTTTTGAAGTTAACTGTTAAAATTTTAGTATCAAACCAGTCAATGATCCTTATAAAATCCTGTTTAGCTATTTGCTTCAGTGTGCTACAGTCATCAGCTTTATATAATACGAGGGTGTCATCTGCAAAACATATAATCTTTCCAGAACTGTTAATTTTGAATAAGTCATTAAGTAGAGACTAAATAATAGTGGGCCTAGAACTGTTCCTTGAGGCACGCCACACTTGATGTACATTTTTTTACTGTAAGTGTAAGTGATTTTGACAGTCTGTGCCCGACTTGAAAGGTAATTTTTTAAAAGGATTTTTGACGCTCCCCTAAATCCCAATCTTTCCATAACTTTCAGAAGCTCGACATGGTTAACCGTATCAAAGGCATTTTTTAGATCAACAAAGATACCAATAGTAGGTATCTTTTTGTTGACATTAGAGTTAATTTCATCCATTGCAGCCAAAATTGCATCTGTAGTAGATTTTCCTTTTCTAAATCCATATTGGTCAGAACATATAATTTTGTTTTTGTCCAAAAATTGTAATATCCTTTTTTGTAGTAATTTTTCGAAAATTTTGGCTATATTCGATAGTACTGATATGGGTCTATAATTTGATGTTTCCATTCTGTCACCGCTTTTATAAACAGGAGTAATAACAGTTGTTTTAAATGCATCAGGACAAATTCCAGATTGGAAACACCAATTAATGACGTAAGAAAGTGGTTCGGCTAAGTCGTAGGCTATTATTTTTAAAGAGATGATAAGGCGAATATTCGAGTATAATCCATTTTGTTTTTGTTTCTACATCTTTAATAAAGTAGAAATTATGTTGTGTTGCTTTATCAAGCTCCAAGTGTGCTTTAATAAAAGGTGTTGACCTACATATGTTGGGAGGTACAGTGTACTTTATTTATGAATAGGTTTTTCTGGCGTCAAGTCCTGCCATTGATTAAGGTATTCTTTCCGAAGATAGTTAGATGCCAACTCCATCTATGAGACACAAAAATAAATTTAAAAATTGGAAAAAATTAAAAGAGTTAGTGTTTGGTTCTGCTCCTTTTAGCACCTGGCTATCTTCAGGCATTGATTAATGTATTCCACCTGAAGACACTCTTTTCAAGGTTGATTTCTGTATTCGTTTTTGTGTTCTGCTCTTGTCTCTTTGAACGCTGAAATCTAGTATATGGTTGGCCATCTTCACGTAGAATCAATGCCTACTTACTCCTCTATGCCCTCGGGCGGTCAGGTAACTTTAGCCACCACTATGCTTGTATCAGCCTATCTTGAACACAATATGGCGAGCACACGGTAACAATAGTACGGACAATTTATTTATGTTTGATTCTACTTGAAAGCTGCCTTAATTGTTTTATTTTAGTCCATCGTATCTCTGGCGTAAACGGGGCAATTGTGTCCCTTTGGGTATTAGAGCAAATTGGGCCCTAAACTCGCGTAAATCTACGCCCTAGATACATAAATGATTGTCCTTTTAAACCCATCTTTCTATATTGTTGGTGCTAAACTGGGTAATCCAAATAATGTTTATATGTTTCAGCTCAAGAACAATCGATATTCTCGGCGAACGAATCACAAGTACAGCATGATGTGAACGTCGGTAAATCCAATCAGGAAGTGGAACAAGCTCATGGATCTGCCATGCATTTTCAGCTGTCTTTCTCTCCACACAAGCTTTCTCCAAACTCGGTGAAGGCACAGCAGATATATTGCAGGTGGGGTTTCCTGCTGTACCTTTTAATTGGCCCTATTTCCAATTTTAAACGTTACTTTTTTTAATCGAGAGAAAAATTTTGAAGTAAAAAATTTGTGACATATACAGGGTGACTTTGAAGTTGAGTCATTAATTTTCAGATAATGATTGTAGAAGGAAGATAAACCAAAATATGTGTGTAAAAATAAAAAAAAAATTAAAAAAAAATTACCTTGTTTTATAAAGTATCCTCCCGACAAGTATTTCAGTGCGGACCTGTATTTGATCGTGAGGTCTTGGAGCACCGGCATGCCGTCCATATGTGAGGTTTTAAGTCACCTGATTCAGGAACCCGTTGTACTACATTAACAAAGGCACGAGGGGTTGGTTGCACTCGATTGGGAAACCGATCCGCATAAACATGTGCCATTTTTATTTCGTTTGAGCCACGCAACAGACACCACTATTCACTACCGACTGACACTGACTGTATACAACTGAATGAAATAATAATTGTAAAAACATCGTTCCAAATTCTTTCGCTTTTTTGTTTCCGATGCGATGAACCGATAAGGCGGATTATATCCGTTGTCGCCAAACACGAGCACATAATATTATTATTGAGACAGGGCGGTACTCAAACTTCCAAAGGGCTATAACTTTGTTACTTTAATTTTACCAGAAAAATGGTAAAGTAAAAAACATTTCTTTTGATCAGATCTACTTACTGTTAAAATAAATGACTCAACTTCGAAGTCACCCTGTATGTACGTGACACGTATTCCATGAAAAACCATGTCACTCGTCGGTCGGTCAGTCTGTCTCTTGTCGATCTCGTCTGCCCATGAATCCTCAACTCCATGAAGAAGTATCGGTCGGATTATGATGAAATTTTGTCACAAAACTGGTCTTGGTACTACCGTGACAAAAACGAAACATCTTAGAAAACTAATAGCGCTCAAGCCCTTTATGACTCGCAAAGCAGCGCTCTGATTTTATTAAAACTTTGACGCAATGTTACTGCTATGACAAGATCAAAAAAAGCTTATTTAAGTCGAACCAACAACAGAGATGTGAATAAGAAATTAAAAATTTCAGAACGCATCTAAACATAGTTTTTCGCTTTTGAGGATTGTACTTCTTTGACTAGCCAAACATTTAGAAAATCTTTTCTTGTTTTCTTAAAAGGGCAATGGATAATTTTTATTGATTTTTGGCGACGTTATTTTATCCCGCTACCAATGATTACTTGCATTTCTTTAAATAAAGTAGTCGAAAACCCAAAATAATATAAAAAAAATCTGTTGTGGAATAGTGATGTTTCTAATAATCAAGGAAACAATTATTTTTGCGTAGATATCTGGATTTCAGAAATTATGCTCTTAACATAGGTTCATCAGGCACTTTGACGGGTTCTAGAAAAATGTTTGTTTGCTTTTTCAATATGTGTTCCCGTGATACTGTTCAAGTTTGATCATGCCATAGTGTTGCGTGCGTGCTGTGGGTTGACATCATGTATCTTACATAAACATTTGAAATTGCAGGTTGAGCTGTTCTTCCTCGGCGAGCACTCCTCTACACTTAACACCTGCGATGCCTGAGCTGCCAGTATTATGTGCTTCCTCTCCAGTCTGTTCACCCCCAGCTGCCCCCTCAATCCCCATGATGCAGATCTTCTTCCCTCCTAATTTTCCGGTGAGTCCTCTCCTGCCCCCATCGCCGACTTGCGACTATTCGGCGAACAGCTTCTTAGACTCTCATCAAACTAACAGCTTTCTCAATCACCGATTGACGGAAAGTCTCATCAATATTATCTCACAGAACAACATTTTTAACGATTCTTAGATTTTGTTACGATTTCTTTTTAATGATTTTAGCTACTATACCCTGTTTGATTTTATTTATTAATGATCTTAGTTCTTTCCTGTTGTGTTTGTATATCAACAATGTTATTTTTTAAATGATCTTTTACTATTGTCTGTTATATGATCCTTCGTTGAGCAATGAGTAACTAACCTAATTTCACAGACACTACTCATTATGATCGAGGTGCCTTAATGTTATTTCGATATACATTGTTATTATTCTTTTGATGTAATTAATAATTTTACGATATTTTGATGTTTGTTCACATTTTAAATTAACTTGTTAATGTCAGTTGCTGCAAAAAAATATATTTATAGATAACCTTAGTAATTATATCTTTATTATGATATTCCTCTATCCTGTATCAGTCTTGGTGTACACCTAGGGCACTACTGACGTACGCCGATCAACAAAAATGACGTCTACTGTCACACCCAATTAGCGTCATTAAATGGCGTCATGGTATGTCATTCCAGTGCTCCGATGGTTTTTGGATTGGAATTTGTTTGTATCGATTTATCAAAATCACTTTGCTTCTTCACAGAAGGACAAAACGCTTCTTGTTTAATGGATATCACCCAAGCCTTATTGACTATGTGGCAATCCTATCGCCCCTACAAAAATTTTATCACAATGTACCATTGCTAAACCGCGAACTCGCTTCTTCGCTTATGATCGGCTTTTGTTGTTGAAGATTTATTTAGCATTAATGCTACAATGTCAATTTTGTATAATGATTCGGTTACATATATTTCTTCAATCCATTTTCTGTAATTTTACATTCTTGTCTATTAAAATTATGTCACTATGTATTTTGATTATTCATAAAGTGATTTTTTAATTTCACCTTAAACATTTTTAAATTCGAACTCTGTTTAATATCATTATTCAATTTATTAAATTCAAATACTCCCTTTTGAAATATGTATAGATTTACTAGCTATGCTACTATTACAATTTTGCAGATGAAAATCTATACGGCCTCTAGTTTCGTAGTTATGATAATGACTATTTAATTTTGTGAAGTTTTCTAAATGTGGTGGTAATAAATGATTTTTTAATTTGAATATGAAAACGAGAACTAAATAATATATGAAATTGTTCACATCCAACCACTGCAGTTCTTCTAACATAGATTTAATCCTAGCATATTTGTTTTTATTTGAAATGATTCTCATAGCTTTATTTTGTAGAATTTGTAATTTTGAAAATATGTTTCCATTTGCTGTAAACAAGGTGGTTGAACAATATAAAAAATGGAGAAGAATTATAGTGTCATACACAATTTTTTTTGGAATACATACTAAGATTATGGAAAACTCTATAGAAGTAATCAATCTTTTTCGATATTTCTGAAATAATGTATTTATAATGTTCGTGAAACAGTAGCTTACTATTCACATATATACCATGATATTTGATTAAATTTTTTCATCATTAATAATGAGCCTAATTGTATTGTCACCTAAACGTTTCCCTATTGACATACATTTTGTTTTATTAGTGTTTAATTTAAGTTTATTGACATTTAACCAATTCAGATTTTCTTCAATATCACTATTTAACAGTTTTAAAGCAGTGTCCAAATGCTTATGTGCTATATTGTATATATATATATATATCATATACCGTTCTAAAATTTGAATTTTTGCCGCGCTTTCAATAAATTTGTTATTTACGGGATTAAAACGTGATGAAATGACAATTTGAAATATCTGAACCTGAAATATTATTATTATAAAAGTCATATTAACAAGATATTTTTGTGGTCGAAGAATTCCTGTTACTTTTTTATAAATAATAATAACGTATTAGTATTTGGATATCTAGTTTACCTTGCTTTTCATGTAAACTCTATATTTTCTTTGTAGGTAAGTATTGAATTTTCAGTACTGACTGTCCTAAAAAAGACCTCAAAATCACAGCCTTTTAAAGGACGTCTTATTGTCGTCATAAAAATGGCGTCAATAAAAGGTCACTTTTTAGTCAGTGACATTCCTGATCAAAAGTGACCGACATCATGTTCTGTGGGGCTTTTAGAGATCTGTTATACTGTTGTATTTATAAGTTATGTGGTATCATTTCATCTTTTTGTTCGTATTTGGTTGACGTGAATGTCAGCAGGACTACACTACATGTTCTGTGCCCAGTCCGTAGTACCAATTTAGTTAGGGCTTCATAGAAATATATGGTTGGTCAGGGGTTCTATAATAAAAGGGTCGTTGTTGAAAGTATATATATTTGACAGTAATATACATCACAATAAAACATTTAATATAATGTTTTATCTTTCTGATATGTTTCGTTTCAATCTGGTGTTCATAAAATTTACATTACACTATTCATAACAATACAATAAAAATAAAATTCTAGCAATAAGCAAATTCAAGCGACTGTTTATATGTATCACAGCGAAAAATATAGATCAATAACCACGACACAAAAAAAAGAAAAGGTCCATTCAGAAATGCAACAATGCACGACAAGATCCTTGTGGAACAAAAAAAATATCGAGTCTCATCCGAAGAGAGCAAATCAAACATAATGCTGGTTTTAATTATTCACTGATGTTAAGATTTCTGAATTCATTTTAAGCTTTACGTGACTGATGAGACAGCCATTCCATGATTCAGGTAAATAGATGAAAAACATTGTTTATCAATCTTTAAAATTATGGAATTTGAAATGTGCATCTTGTTAACTGTAGGACGAGATTCAAATAGTGATCATTATTTCAGCCAGACATAACAGACTCTGAGGTCCTTCGGGGCCCTTTTCATTAATCTGTAATGATATAGTGCTAAATAACTAATTTTGTTTAAAGCCATTGTATACTCTTTTAGATCTGTTTGTAACCGGGCTGATATTTTGTAACAAAAGTGAATGTCAATTTGAAGCATGTATCTTACATATTGTATTACATCCATACTCGATATGTATGTTTATTAGAATAAAAACAATCTTACAAGTAGAAAGGCCGAGCAGTAGCTCTCAAAATCTGAGCGTACATCTAAAGGCTCGTTTTTCTACCCATTCATAAACATTCAATATTTATAAATATTTTTATACATCTATATGTTTTGTATATCTTTATATAGTACGATGCTTAGCATATCTTGTAGTGGACATGTTTATACTGTGCGGGCAATACCAGTTAGCCGACTAACTTCGAACGCCTAAGTTACAAAGTAAAAAATTGTAAGCACGGAAAATATCTTAGAAATATAAGAATTATGGTGAGAACAACAAGGTAGAACTATAAACCTTCATTACTGATAATTACTGATCAGACCTTTGACGTATAATATATAACCATACTTTCTTTAAACTAAACCACTAGACTTCCCTATCTTCTCTTCTTCAAGTAAACAGTTGTTTTTCACAGTAAACTGAATATTACTAAAGACTACAATAAATATTAAAGCCCTTTTCAGCATACAGTAGCATACAACTTGATACTTTCTTTATATTTTATAACGTAAAGGATAGGCATTGGTTACAATAAATAAAATAATGCCAAAGATTACAAATTGAGACTATTTCTCCTCTCAGGTAAAAATGCCAGGACAAGCAAATCATTTTTACAATTTAGGGTCGCTATTTTTGCTACCTCTTAAAAAGGAGACATTTCTATAAAATCTTTTGTTCCTGTCAGATAGAAAGCCATCACTTACTGAATAATGACTTAGTTCCCTTCTTTGAATTGGATTATATAATATATGAAATAATTTTACGTTCAAAAAGTTGATGCCTTTTGATTTGTGATTCAAAATTGCTAAACACCAACACGTGTTTATGTAATTATCTATATTATACAAAAAAACTTTATTTGGATAGAAGTACTGTCTGAGAGATTTCTTACAAATAGTCGTGGACATATATGTTAAATTGTTGTTTTAAAATACATATGTAGCAAGTGTATTTGGACAGGAAAGAACGTGTTGTATGCGAAACATAAATATATCATATATCTGCTTAAGTACATGGTTATAACAAATGCACAAAAATATAATTATATATTTTCCTGTACATACATTGTTTGTGCTCTCTATGAACAGAAATATACACTCGTTTCGATATTGCTAGTACACGAATCTTCTAAACTATATACACATAAACTTAAATCATCTACACTACAATTACTAATTTTAGTATGTGATATGTATTGATTTGTGTGGTACAACTTTTGCTAGAATTGAGCCACCTAATGCCTAATGAAGACTCGTTTCTCTATCGTTTAATAAATGTCAATTCTACTGAAGAGTCATACCACGAAATTCCATCAAAGCTAGATATATATCCACATAAGGCTTCGCTTATGCTTATGTAATACAGCAATGATATGTATCGTTTGTAGTCTTAAATTTATAAAGCATTCTGCTTCATCAAATTTTCGAAAGCTTTCAGTAGGATAATTGACAATGTTTCTTACTTGATATGATTTCTTGGAAACTGTTGATCCTATACTTACTCCATGTAACTCATAAATAATTGGTATAAATACTAATTAACAACAGATTTATAACAGAGTCTGTCTAAAACGGTTACAGTGCACTTTGGTGCACGTAGAAAACTTTCGAAAAGTAGTGCGCATTTCACATTTGATTGACAAACGTAGTGATATGCCATTTTAAGGCCATTAGATCATTATTGTTTGTACAGCTATTTTTTTATAATGTTGAATTGAAACTACTGATAGCGGAACACCAAGTTTACTATACAATCAATATTATATTTCATATCTTGAATAAAGTAAAGTATTCTGAAGGTAACAGCTGATAAGTACAGTGAATGTACAGCCACCAATAGCGTCAATTCATTTATGTATACAACTACATCATATCCAAGTATAATTGTGATATAACTGTCTCAATTTACTTAATATTTGGAAAGATCTGGCAGCAGGAATATATACACAATATTTTGTTTATTAGTGACTTCATAGTTATTTGGCCCTGATATAACGATGCACTTTTAGTATTATAGAATAAAACATTGATATTATTAAATTATTTTATGTTATTGTTTCTAACTCTTTTGGGCTTTTCACTTATGTCACGTTTTCCCATTATATTAAATGGAAATTTGAGGTGAGAGTTAAATATTTCAACAGTAAAAGCTAATTATATACAGAAATCATATAAACCATGCAGAAAGGTATACACACCTTATGCTGCTGCTATACATCTATATGAATCCAGGCTTATATATTTTCTAGAGGTTCACAGATATACAATATTATTAGAAATCGTTTAACATTACATTTTCTGCATTTGTACGAGGGTGGATCAAATAAAGGGTTGTCCAATAGGGACACAGGAAAGTAAACGTCAATTTGACATAGACGCCATCTTTGTTTTCTGTCACCGACATGTCATTTTGTTAGTTGAATGTTTACCATTGATCGCTATGGAGTCGTATTCGATTGAAGACCGCATTAAAGTTATTCAAGAGCACTACAGAAATGGTGCAAAAATAAAAAACACGTTTCGCGCGCTTCGTGAACATTTCGGTCGCAACAACCGCCCAAACGAAACAACCATCGGTCGTCTGGTGCGTAAATTTGAGGCAACAGGTTCTGTGGCAAATCTGCCAGGCTCTGGCCGGCCAAGGAGCGTTCGCACACCGGAAAATATTGCTGTTGTGAAGGAGAGTGTGAGAGACGATCCGAAACAATCAACAGCCAGAATCTTACAAACACTTTTCTTAGCCAATCACGAGAGCTCTTAAAGTGTAGGTCCGTGGAGTGTAGTATATTAGGAGTGGGGATAAAGCATGGCGAGCTGTTATACTTAATCCATCCGTTAGTGAGCAAGTTTTAATCAAATTTTTGACGAAGGAAGGCGTTAAACCGTGCAAGATTTTGGCTCGTTTGAAGGCTGAATATGGGGATGATACCCTATCTAAAACTCAGGCATTCGATTGGGCCAAAAAGTTTAAGAGTGGACGATAACGTGTAGAAAATGTGAGTCATGATCGACGTACAAGGTCAAGTGTCTGGTGACAACATTGGTGCTGTTCGTGAACTTGAAAGTGACAGGCGACTCACTATCCATGGGGTCGCTTTAGAAGTGGTCATTAGCTTTGGAACTGCTCAAACAATAATCAAAAAGCATCTTGGCTCCAACAGAATCTGTGCACGACGGGTGCGAACTTGTTGAGCGAAGATCAAAAAACATCAGTAGGGGACATCTGAATCGATTTCGGCGGCAGGGAGAGACTTTTTTTTTAATCATATCGTGATGTGTCATGAAATAAGGGTGCATCATTACATTCCCGAGTCCAAAAAGGTGAGTAAAGAATGGCGAATCACAGACGAAACCGGCCACGTGAAAGCCAAAACTCGACTGCAAAGGAGTGTTACTCGTTGATTTTCCGTACGGTTAATCCTGCCTACTACTGCTAGTTGTTGGAGGCAGCGAAAGCCGCATACGGACGCGAAATACACCAACAGAAATGTCATCCTCCTTCACGACAATGCTAGGACACATACAACTTCTGAAACGAAGCAAAAACTGGAGGATATGCATTGGGAAATTCTTGAGCATCCTCGATACAGACCAGATTTGTCACCCTGTGACTAACATTTGTTTACGCCCATGAAAGATGCACTTGGAGGACTGGGATTTGACAACGATCGAGATGTGAAGAACTTCGTGTGCAATTAGTTGGTCACTCAACCTCCAAATTACTACAAGCAAGGAATCTGTAAGCTCATAGATACATAATCAACAGGATTTTTGTATTGCTTTATGAATAAATAAATATTAAAGGAGAGTTCCGGTTTATATTTGGTCCACCCTCGTATTAACTGAAATACCGATAACAAAAACATTGATCATTAGATGGACCATTGTGGATGTACAAAATTGTACAATCATTATATTTGGTTAAACACTGCGTGAAAGCCGCTCTACCAATTTGCTTACTATAAATATAACCACCACATAATCTTACAAATTACTATATGTCTTCCAAAAACAAAACGTGCTTCCTCTAAATACGCCTTCTTTTACATAACTGATAATTAACAGAGGATAAAAATAAATAAAAAGCTACAAAATAGCCACATAAGGTTTCTGTTAGAAAGTTTCGGAGATCACAAGTACCGCATACGTAAACGTTAGCCGTGTTTGACATTCAGCATTAACATATGCTGTATTTATTTGCTAGAACTCTCTGATATATTGAAACCGAAGCGTACGTGAATCACAGATAAAATATCGTAAAAAACTGGTAAACAATATGATAGGCCTAAAATTAATACGTTTTTTCTTATATAAAATCTTTGAGTTCAAATATAACAACAATTTGAATTTCCTTTTGCTTTCGCAGTTTCCCGTAATAATAATGGCGCATATAATGGTTTGCATATTAAAGGTTACATTCGAAATCCAGTACCAACTGGGAGTTTTGGCAATCACAAATACCGCTTAGTAAACGTTACCCTACCCTTATATGACATATGATTCATTTTCTTCTATTGACTCAATTGTCGAGTAAGGTTAGCGCTTAACATTCACCTATAAGCTATTAACGGTCGCCATCCAGATAGTACCTAGAGAGGCGCTATTAGAATCTTATTAGAATCTTTTTTGGCTATGCAAAACGGCGTCAGGGGGGTTCAGGATGAAAAAAAATCGCATTCTTGTATCTTTATTTAGATGAAGTTGGTAAGATATTTCTGCTGAACCAATGCATGCCTGATAATTTAACTTCAATTTGATCTTTTCGAAACCGATATTCCGGATTTTTAATGAAAACGTACCCTTTCGACATTGACCCTCGTGATCTCAGGAACTAATCGTCAAACAGAAGATCTAAGTGTGGTTTCAAGAGCAGGAATGGATTCTCTAAGAGGATCAATGACCATTCATAGAAAACCAATTTTTGTTCAAAACAAAAAACGTCTGGGTAGATCAGAGTGGAAGTTATTGTGATTATACGGAGCTGTACAGGTCACGCTCGACATTAATTAGCCCTTTAATCGATATTTCCAATTAAGCCTCTTGATTTAAATAAAAAATCCGCCTTTTTTTCCTGTTTTCTTTCCCAGCCATTATGAAGGATGCTTTTTTAACATAAATGATAATCGATCCTTTAAGAGTATGCATTCCAGCTTTTGCAAGCACTCTTTGATTTTCTGTACGATGATTGGTTCCTGAGATATCAATGATCAAAGTCGAAAGGGCCCTTTTTCATGAAAAATTCTATATCGCATTAAAAGATGGTCGTCCGAAAGATTTTTAAGACAGAAAATTGAAGCTAAATAAGCAGGCCTTAACGGAAAACGTTTTCCGGGCCCTTGGACACTATTTCTTAAGATCCCGCGGAACTGGAAGTTCCTAAAACTTTTTGACTAAATTTGTGGTGACAAACATATCCCTTGTAATTGCATCCTCTCCAAAGTATATGTATAATTATATGGATTAAACCTTTGTTACCATATATGACACATGAGATGATAAGCTGCTCAAACAAACGGAAATCCAATAAGAACAGATAATCTCTCAATAATGAACAACGAGTAACTATAATCTCTTTGTGAGTATACATACAAAACATTTTATATTTCTTTCGTGCAACAATAACACATTGATGTCTACAGCCAATTTCACTATTACGTTTATACTAATTCATATGTTAAACTAAAATGAAGGCTTGAAAATATCTTAATCTATAAAGTCGTCGTTTACGACTCATAGCATATAATTGAGGCAATACAAGGAAAGGTCAAAGGTGAAGGAATACTTGAGTCATTATCTTTTATAAAATATTTTCTTTCCATAACAATGCTCTACCGTTAAGAAAATGTTAATATGAAAAGTAAATGTGACAGGTAATAAGGGATAATCTGGACGCTCATACGATTTGGCATAACCGTAGAAATGGAGAGTCATAATTTTCGATCAAACACTCCTACTAGATTCTTAGGTCTGATTCTTCAACAGTAAAACATGCCACTTTAGGTTCATATGACTTGAATTTACTTACTCTAAGTTCTTTATAATTATTCTGTTTATGTAGCCAAATGAACTAACCTTTTTACTACACATTCATGTCTCGGTAAAACCAACAGAATTGTTAAAAGATGTGTTAGCTATGTGGTCAATTGTGCTCAATTACTGTTTGATAGATTTTGCCAAGTTGGACATAGGACGTATTGTACTTTTACTTTCAACAAAAGTAAAAGGAGTATCTTGTTTCAATTTCAGAAAGAAGTCTCCCAAATTCTTGATGTTTTCTGAAGGAGTACTAAGATATTTTCAAGCACTTCATCTCCTTAATTGAATCTAGTCTACCTTCTTTTACCTTGACTGATCAACAACAGATCATCATCATCATCATAATCTTCTTAATTGAATCTAATCTACTTTCTTTTACTTTGACCGATCAACAGATCACTTCTCTAAACAATTGTTAAATGCTATCTGTAGTTAATACCTGAACTGCCGTCAAATTACTATGTGGGCGGTCTAGTTAACAAGCTTTGCATAATGTTCAAGCTTTCTTCTAAGCTTTGTGCAAATCTTGATGTGCTGGTGACTTCTGAGGACCAAAATGCTGAAAGACAGAATATGATACTTTCTTTCTTCGGATTGTACGATGCGCCGTAACCATCTGGTTCTACGGGACCATATCCCATGAAACTATCTGTAGTTGTAGCAACCTAGCATGATGAAAGTTTCTATTAAATATATTTTTTTATGAATGATTTTATAAATGGGTGTTAAACCTACTGCATGAAGTTCAGCAATGGTAAAGAAGAACCCTTTCATCCATAACTTCTTGGAGGATTTCGCAAGATTTGAGGTCAGGTGTTCAGATTATTATTTATACCGGATGTTTCCCATTGGGATCTCGGAAATGGTAAGAAATCAGTCGATTAAATGGAGGCAAAGATGAATATTTACGTGACTAACAAAATGCTTGTTATAAATTTCCAAAATTCAAAGTAATTCCGGAGAAGGAAATATTCCAAAATCGATTTAACTTTTTCCTAACTTTATTTGCAGTAGGATCTCAAAATAAGCACCTTAATATTGCCACTTTTTCTGTTCCACAAAATGGCATAATTACAACTTCAATATGACGTTTTATCTCTTTTCCTCCAACATCAACTTATGGACGCCATATTAGATTTTTGCACTGTTCTGATTCTGAGTTTTTATATCTGACAAAAATGCATAATTTCACACATATGGTTCCAGCACATCGGAGCACCGCCCCATAACACCAGGGCCCCCCAAACCTCAATGTCTTGGACACACTTACTGGGGCACCTTGAAAAATAGATTTATGAAGACTTCAAATTGAATATACTAACAGAGTTTGAAATATTGAGAAGAAGGGAAATAAACCGAACAGTGAGCAATGTACAAAATAGCAGACATCTGCTATCATTTCACTAAACCCTTTTATTCCCTTAAAATTTGTATCCCAACAACAAATTCATAGCTATTGATTCTTCACACATTTTATCAGTTACTGCAGTTGGGTTTTTCGTTTTCTTAAAAAAATGTATTTGTTAAGTGACAAGTTATTTTGAATTACCGAATGAGTGACCGTATCTATTTATTATATTCTTGAAGTCTGTAACAATAGACATATATTTACATCCAATGCTCGGATTGGGAAATAATCTGGCATTTTTGGTTTGCCCCAATTGACTTCTTTTTTATCTTAAGGTATAACTTCCCTTTTGATTAATTCATACCTTAAGGCTCTGAGAGAAAGATTACGAAATAGTTAAATGAGATTTTATTCGACTATATGCCAATAGGTTTTTATGAAAGTTGATTTTACCTGACTAGTGCTGAGTAGGAACTTGTTGGCTAAGCGATAGGAAGGATCCAAAAAGATCTCTGGCAATGGCGAAGCAGCTGTTGGGGAAGTTTCCCTTGCTGCTTCTCTCAGCCCTAGAAGGTGGATGTCAATACCCAGCCCTAAGATGTTGTCTACCATTTCTTGTGTTTGGGCGATCACAGCTTCGTTCCATAGTAGGTGCTTCTTCTCGTCGCTTACAAGGTGAAAAGTCACCTGCAAAGCGACAACTAATTGAGTGTCTTTACAAGAAGTATTCACAAATGGCCGTTTTTGCGCCCTCAAGCGTTCTCTTCTGTCCCGAGGAGTTTTAAAATATCTCACTAAAAATGACATTATATAAGAGCCCAAAATCGCAAACGTCAAGTTCGACGATAATTTAAATCACCTCAAAGTTAGCTTAGCTCAGGAAAACTGGAATATTGGCGAGGACGATATTGATGCAGAATTTGAACGGTTTCTCAACAATTTTTTGTGGCATTTTGATTTGAAATGTCCCCAGAGGCATAAAACACGACACAAAAAGCAGAAATCTAAACCGTGGGTGACGCCAAAAATCCAACAGTCCAGCCTGGATCTAAGAAAACTACATAATTTGGTGAAAAGGCATGAAGACAATGTAAGTATGAGACAGCAGTACATTGACAACAAGAAAGAACACAAGAAATTAATTTCTTCAACAAAAAAAGAGTGTTACGGTAGTCTAATAAAATCCAGCAACAACAAAGCTAAAAAAATATGGGAAATAGTCAATGAAGAAACCGGAAGAGTAAAGAAACATCATCAAATAGTGCTGAAAAATGAAGACAAAGAATTTACTGACACCCTCGTACCCGACAAGTTTGGCAAGTATTTTTCCACAATAGCAGAGAACAAGTTAGCAGAACACTTTAAATGTGACAACCTATCAAGATGTCCATCACAAAATCGGATAGCATCATCAATGTTCTACGAGGATATCACCACTGAAGAGATCGTGGAAGTAATCAGCAGCCTTCCAAATAAAAGAAGCAGTGGAAATGATGGAATTTCAACGCGTGTGATAAAGTTTGTGAAACGTGAAATATCTTCCCCCCTATCAGTCCTGATTAATAAATCAGTGAAGCAAGGTAAATTCCCGAAATGCTTGAAACTAGCTATTGTTATTCCCGTATACAAAAAGGGCGACCGTACAGACCTTGAAAACTACAGACCAATATCACTTTTATCGATGATCTCTAAAGTCATTGAAAAATGTCTGTATAAACGTATATTATGTTTTCTCAATCGCTATAATGTCTTATCAGATACCCAGCATGGGTTTAGACCCTCACGATCTATAGAAACGGCGACCTTTGACTTTTTTTCCCATATATATAGAGAGGTAGACGAAAATAGTTACGTTGCTGGACTATTTTTTGACCTTTCGAAAGCATTCGATATAATGGATATTTCGTTTATCGTGGAAAAATTGTACTGCTTAGGTATAAGGGATTTTATTCTCAGCTGGATCCAGTCTTTCCTCACAGATAGAAAATTGAAAACGAAGGTCAATGGTCATACGTCAACTCAATATTTCGTGAATATAGGTGCGGCACAAGGCTCAGTACTTGCACCACTGCTCTTCATTGTATACGTAAATGACTTGAAATTGTCTGTCTTTATGATTAATTATGCGGATGACACATCTATCGTCGTCAGTGCCACGACACCGCAGGATCTTCTCGAATCTATTGAGAAAGTCAAAAGTGAAATGAGCAAGTGGTGCCAGTCTAACCGCCTCATTTTGAATGAAGATAAGACTGTTGAAATTCATTTCTTCAACAAGAAACCACGCATGGATATTGATAGCTTTTCAGATCAAACTGTCTTCTTAGGAACTCATGTTGATAGTAAGTTAAGCTGGCAACCACAAATAAATCACATTTGCAACAAAATTAACAATGCTTATTTTGCAATATTGAAATTAAAGCCTAACATCCATCTAAACTCTCTCTTAGATATGTACTACGCGCTAGTTTATTCTCACCTCACTAACAATATAATCATATGGGGACAGGCAACAATGATTAACAGATTATTCATCCTGCAGAAAAGAGTACTTCGATTAATTTTTAATATTAACAAGAGGGACTCTTGTAAAGAAATATTTAGACGCTATAATCTGCTTACATTAACTTCCATCTATATCTACAAATGTGCCATCTTCGCATTTGAACATAGCAATAGATTTGTTCGTAACAACGCCATTAATAGTCAATACAACACTAGAATAGGGCATGATCTGAGTATACCGACACATAACTCTGCCCTATTCCAAAAATCTCCCACTCTAGCGTGCACTAAGGTATACAATAATCTGCCGAGTGAGTTGCGGAGAAGCACTAATATCATTGCGCTAAAAAAACATCTCAGGAAATATCTGGTTAAAAAATGCTATTACTCTCTACATGAGTTATACTAACACATGAAAGTATCTGTTTTTTTAAATTCTTTTAAGCTGTTCATCATTTCGTTATCAGTGAATTGTCTATTATCGTGGAGTAAATGTATTTTACTTTCACTTTTTATTCGAGTTTTAACGAAAGTATGTATGTTTTCTTTTTAAGCTTTTAACCATTTGTCCTCACTGCTCGATGTTTATATATTATGTATTTCTAACAGATTCTCCTACCGCTTTTCTTTTCTTTGTATCAGCTTCAATAATTTTTACCGGCTAGACGAACATTTTTTGTGATAACAAAAGTCGCTGTATATGTATATATTTTTACCGTTACTTGATTACGATTCTTGCACTGTACCTGTACCTATACTGTGATTTAACCTTTTAAAACGTTTTGTAATTGTAATGTCCTTATTTATTTTATAATTATAAGTATTTTTCTGGCATATTTGCTCAAACGCATATATGACCCTCAAATTGATATTGACAAGTCTTATATCATGTAACATAATCTAATAGGACAATAAACTATCTATCTATCTATCTATCTATCTATCTATCATTCTAAGTTACTTCTGAGCTATTCTGAGTTAAGTGCTTATTCACAACAAGGTAATACAGAATTCCTTTACTTGATATGTCATTGCATTATTGCCGACCCGAATCAGAGGTGCATATGATGGTATCTAAATTTCTATCGATTTCCTGTCTCCAATAGGGATATAGTGGTCTGTTGTGATATGTATTTGTAGTTAACTAAAATTTCTTGTAAGATCATTGACCACTTTTATTCAAATCTCAGTCTGTAAGGCTACAGGTACACCACAAGTGATCATTCCTTGTTTGATGTATCACTTATCCCGGTCTTATGGATATCATCAGTACAGTTTATAAATCTACTGATTACAAGTATCCTCCGGAGCTCATTACATATCTTCTTATCAAAGTTAAAATTCGGAAAGAATAAATCGAAATCTACGAGGGCATTAACATTCTCAAATTTCCTCAAAGCATTCCATACATCGCTTTTTGAGCATCAAAAGATTTAACTAATTGTGTTTATGTATATGGGCATTACAAGTTTTCGGTTGGAAAATTTGCTAGACTAGTGGGTAGCTTGAAAAGCTGTAAACAGTAAGCAAACATTTTACAAGAGTCTCCGATGAAACCTTCAACAATGTCAGTACCTTCTTATTGCCCATTTCGTCGTCCTCTTTGGGTTGTGACATAGCTTGCACCCATGCTAATGCTTCAGGTGTCGCTGACCGGATGCAGTCTACCCTTCCTAGTCTGAATCTTCTGGTAGAAGCGCTTTCGTAGGTCGCCGTAAGCTTTCCGTACAATCTGTAGTAAGCCAGCTGCAGGGCCAGTTGAATGTAAACATCTGGGCTGACCTTACATGATTTGATAAATTCTTTGCCGTACCCTGTGAACCTGAACACCTGGAGGAAGGAATAGTATATTTAATATATGGCATTATATTACATTAGGTACTACTACAATATTTCATTACGAAATCAGATCAGAAAGTTCATAGATCCAGAACTTGATATGTTTAATATGTTCAAAGAGACATCTTAACTAAAGCTCAAAAAGGAAGTCAGAATACATATAAAAATTTGGCTTTGGTGTTTTAGGTGTTTCCTTTTTGATTTGTGCTTTTTGTAACAAAAACTCACATACTACATACAGCTTTTATCAAAGATAGCAAGAGAATAATGTTGTGTAGTGGCGTATAATGTCTTTCAAGTCCGCTGGTCGACTTTATTGATGTTGGATTTGGCATGCATCACTGAAGACAGCGATATATTAGTGAACCGCCAAACCAAGAGCAGTTTGCACATAAATAATTGGACAGCTGCCAAGGAACCGCACTTGGATCGGCTCATAGACGGCTCGACATGCAGTGTTGCCAAACTGTCAGAAAATGTTTAGAGCGTGATAGATTTATAGTGAGCTGAATGAAATATAATCCCTTCCACCATTTTTGACAATTACGTAACCATGTCCTACAAAATGAACAGAACTACCCTAGGGAAATTGCGCACTGCGCAAGCTGATGCACCTGCTACTTGTTCTAGCACACACGCTTGAATTTTGTAACATCCAAGTTTTGAAAACAAGTAAAAAAGTTTAAGTATTCTGCAGATACTGCTATGTTTTATATCGGAGATCAACAAGAAGTAAACTCAAATCGCATGCCATGTCAAGCAACTTATGTTGAATGAGATTCCCCCTGGATCCGCCGTCCCCAAAAAATTCGTCTTATTGTTGCTCATTACCTACACATTCGTTTTCTCAAAATATGATGCACACAATTAGAAACTATTTGAGTTAGCGCGCATTTTAACGATCGCATTTGTTAAAATATGAAGTACCTAATAACTAACTAAGTTTCTGAGAATACCGTTTGCTAAAGAATATAGAATCTCGGCTATCGTTTGAGATTGCTCTGATCGATACACTTGCATAAAGATTTTTTACCGTACAGCGTATACAATGATTAAAGGTGTAGTTCGTAGACTGCAACTGGACGATAATTATTCCCACCATAAACAAAGGTAAAGCAACTAACACTATATGCATCTCTTGCCAAACAACAAGTGGTTAGACGCCATTAGCCATTTTTTGGTAGCCAGCTTTTCCACTTGATCAGTCTCTCTGTAATTTATTCACCTTAACTTAACTTCTCTCTTGGTATAACTACTGAAGTCCTTCCTTACCACCTTATAGTAGTAGTATAGTAGAACACTCACCATATGTAAACATAAAAAGCTACATTACACCATACACATTCACCATATTTAAAGATACCGTATTAGCGTTGAACTCGTGAGAGAATTTGCATTATTTCAAATAGTTATAGGCACAGTACGTTCGTTTTGATTAGTTCAGCAGCTTTTTGAAGCTATACTATGTTATTAGTTTAGCACAAGTGGCTAGTATTTTTCAGTTCGTTTCAGAAACCAATATATACGTTTTGACAGAAGAATGGAAAAATGGTGCAACGCTTTTATTAGAAGACTTATTGGTAAAGGAGCTTCATTGACATTTAAATATTTACTATCAGAAAAAAAATTTTTGAATTTTTAGTTCCTGTTATGCTAAATAAAAGCTTATTTATTTTTTGCATTTTAGTATACAGGGTGTTTCAGTTTATTGTTGCATAACTTTAAGATTCGATAGAACGTTTAAAATTAATGCATAAAGTCTATATAAACATGGGTCGAAAAATGCGTGGCTTCCGAAATACAGGGTGTTCATAAACACTCCTTATTTCCGTTTTTAACGATGTGATATTGATAATGAGTAATCGTAATAATACTGGATTTTTTTTATTGTTGAATAAACAAGTCTATAACAAATTAAGAAGTCAAGTGAATTCTGATAAAGTTAATGATTGAGGACAAGAATCGTAAAGCCATACTGAAATTCTAATTTTCCAACCTTGTATAGAAAAAAGGTGACAACATTAATGGGCAATTGAAAACAAGTTTTTCAAATTCGTTTTATTCTCGTCTATCTCCGGACATACTCCGAATTGCGAAACTTTCCAAGTATCATTTTTTTAATTACGTAAATGCGCAACTTTATCACCAATTTAACCGATTCCGTATATGTTGCCATTTCCGATATCTCAATCGTGAGAGTCGAGATTCAAATACCCGGTATACCTGAATTAACACAACTGTAGATTCCTAAGGAAGCTATTAAACACTAGCGAACGATCGACCTAGAGATATACAGGGTGTTTCAGTTTATTGTTGCATAACCTTAAGATTCGATAGAACTTTTAAAATTAATGCATAAAGTTTATATAAACATGGGTCGAAAAATGCGTGGCTTCCGAAATACAGGGTGTTTAAATTTACTTTCTAAAATAGTTTTTTTTAAATATTTCGAACAATATTTGATGTATAACAGTGAAAATTGGTATACAAGGTTTTTTTAGAACGACCAAACGAACCATGGGCATAGTTTTACTGTAGCCGCTAGAGGGCGCTCTCTACTGTACCTGTAGTGTATTAAAATGACCGAAAAAATTTTCTTAGTGCAATTTTTTGCTTCTTCAATAAAAAAACTGATTCTTCGCACTTTTCAACATAAAAAAGCTCTCTTGTGAATTTTCGTTATAGTTAGCCGTTTTTGAGATATTTCCATGCATTTTTAATTAATTATGATAAAATAACGTTAAAAAGTCAGTATCTCGATAAATTTTAGGAGTAGGCCTGCAAATATTTTTGAAATTGAAAGCAGAATAAGGTTAAACGTCAATTTGTTGACAGTTAGTTTTGTTGTCTGTTGAAACCTGAAACGTTTTTTTGCAATTGTGAATGCACGAAATTTAGTTTCTTTTACCTGTTTTTTTTTGTAAGTTTTATAAACATGCCATTTTTATTCTCCAATCAAGAGTTAGCGGATATTCATTTTGTGTATGGCTTTGTCAATGGAAACGCAGCAGAAGCAGCCAGAGAATACGCACGAATATTTCCAAACAGACGACATCCAACTCGCTCAGTATTTGTAAGAGTGCATCGCCAAATAATTGAAAATGGTTTTGGAAATCTCCAAAGGGATCAAAACATAAATGTTCGTCAGCGCAGATTTACCCGTATGATTCTGCGTGAGTTTGATAGAGATCCGACCACAAGGGTTAGGAGAGTTTCTGGTGCCTTGGGAATTTCAGCAAGCCATGTTCACCGTGTTCTTAGAAATGACCATAGACGTCCTTACCATTTGCAACCTGTGCAAGAGCTACAGCCAGGGGGCGGAGAACGATGAATCACATTTTGTCAGTGGATTCTTGATATAACTGACAATAATAGGGAGTTTTTAAGTAACGTTTTATGGACCGATGCGTCATGCTTCACTAGACGTGGAGTGGTAAATTTTCATAATCAACATATTTGGTCGCATGAAAATCCGCATGCAGTTCGGGAAAGAAATTTTCAGCATGAATTTAGTGTGAACGTGTGGATTGGTATCTACCGTAATCGACTATTTGGACCCTACCTTTTGCCTGCAAGGTTAAATACTGCGACGTTCTTGGAATTTTTAAAGGCTGAACATGCAAATATATGCGATGATGTTATGTTAGATTTAAGAAGATTGGCCTGGTTCCAGCTTAATGGTTGTCCAGCTCATTATTCGAGAATAGTTAGAAACTTGCTGGACGAAAATTATCCAGAAAGATGGATTGGCCGTGGAGGACCAGTCGCCTGGCCTCCACGATCCCCTGAACTAAATCCATTAGATTTCTTTGTGTGGGGATTTCTAAAAGAAAAAGTGTACCAGACTCCCGTAACCACAAGAGATATGCTAATAGACAGAATCAGGAATGCATGTGATGAAATAAGGCCTTATTTGAATAATGCTATACCACGTTCGATCATTCGTAGATGTGAATTGTGTATTGAACAATTGGGTTTACATTTCGACCAACTACTTTAGATTTTGTATGTTCGTTCTAACTATCCAATAGCATTTTAGTTGTAAATAATTAATTTAATTTGTTAAAAATAATATTGGAAAATTAAACAAATTAATATTCTGTTTTTTTTGTGTTTATTTGGAGTTAGGAATTATTGCTGTGTTTAAAAACACAATCTAAACGATCATCTTAATTACTTGTAATGCCCAAATCGAAAATGTAAAAAAAAATTATTTTCCCATAAATAATTAAAAATGCATCGAACCTTAAAAATCAAAATATCTCAAAAACGGCTAACTATAACAAAAACTCACAGGAGAGCATTTTTATGTTGAAAAGTGCGAAGAATCAGTTTTTTTATTCAAAAAGCAAAAAATTGCACTAAGAAAAATTTTTCGGTCATTTTAATACACTACAGGTACAGTAGAGAGCGCCCTCTAGCGGCTACAGTAAAACTATGCCCATGGTTCGTTTGGTCGTACGAAAAAAACCTTGTATACCAATTTTCACTGTTATACATCAAATATTGTTCGAAATATTTAAAAAAAACTATTTTAGAAAGTAAATTTAAACACCCTGTATTTCGGAAGCCACGCATTTTTCGACCCATGTTTATATAAACTTTATGCATTAATTTTAAAAGTTTTATCGAATCTTAAAGTTATGCAACAATAAACTGAAACACCCTGTATATCTCTAGGTCGATCGTTCGCTAGTGTTTAATAGCTTCCTACAGTTGTGTTAATTCAGGTATACCGGGTATTTGAATCTCGACTCTCACGATTGAGATATCGGAAATGGCAACATATACGGAATCGGTTAAATTGGTGATAAAGTTGCGCATTTACGTAATTAAAAAAATGATACTTGGAAAGTTTCGCAATTCGGAGTATGTCCGGAGAATAAAACGAATTTGAAAAACTTGTTTTCAATAGCCCATTAATGTTGTCACCTTTTTTCTATACAAGGTTGGAAAATTAGAATTTTAGTATGGCTTTACGATTCTTGTCCTCAATCATCAACTTTATCAGAATTCACTTGACTTCTTAATTTGTTATAGACTTGTTTATTCAACAATAAAAAAAAACCAGTATTATTACGATTACTCATTATCAATATCACATCGTTAAAAACGGAAATAAGGAGTGTTTATGAACACTGAAGGAATTCTTGGATGATATTATGAAACAATGACATTGGTCATTTCAAGGCATACTTTGGAAATTCTATCTTTTAGGTAATTATAGATAATATATAAGATGAAACGTTATATTGATATTCTCATTATGCTACCTTGTGAAGGAAAAAAATTGGAACTGATGATGAGCAAATTATTTTAAAATCTTACCTCAAATAAAGCCAAAAGCAAATTTAATGATTTTTTTTTCAGTTAGCCGTAGTTTTGAAAACTGTCGCTAATGCTATTTCCAGTAATCTAACTGAATCTTGAATGGCAATGTAACAATAATAATAAACGTCTTTATTAGGGGCGAACTATAGCAGAGTGCTATTCTGCCACTTAACTCCCAAAAAAGTACAAAAGTACAACAAAAACAGAAGGACAGAATATTTCAATATCAACAAAAGTAACAATAGTTTTATAAATAAGTTGTGTATAAAATATAAATTTTAACAGTTTTACAGTTTAGATAATTAAATTTTACATTGAAAAATTTTGTGGTGTGAAAGGTTGAAAAAGCAATTCAAGTCCAAAATACTTATTTCTAAATTTTGCATAACTTAGCAACTTTATGGCTCGTGAGTAGATATACATACAATAATCACAACTGTAGATATCAGAAGAACTAAAAATCAGTGAAAGCTCGAAATTGCATTCTTCATTCAAAGCCTAAAATGTAATCTAATATTGATAGTATCCCATTCAATATTTCACATCTTTAGTTTCAGCTTGTCTGCCACTTCTTGTTTCGATTAAAGCTGCTTATCGATGTAACGCACCTGAAAATCTAGATCCTTGATAAGATTCTCCAAGACCTGCCCCGCATCCTCAATCCTCTGCCGATCACTAGGTTCCAAGACCCACTCCAACTTTTCTGGTGGAGGCAGATGTGAACTGGCCGGCACCTCGCTGTTCTGATCTAGTGAATCGGCATGGTTCCACAGCTTCTCCACCAATTGGATCACTGCGACTCCTTCTGCGTTGGAATGTTCGTAGCACAGGCCGCAAGCTCCGTCGCCTGAGATTATGAGTTGGATGGTCTTGTCGAACCAGCGGTTGGCAGAGTTGAGTCCTATTCCTCCTCCATGGAGCATTTGGTGGAAGAGGTTGGTCTCGTCTCGGATGCCTGCTGTATGCCCTTTGCCACCTGGAAAGTTGCGTCGTTGTCAAAACCCAGCACTAGAGCTTGGATTTGGTTTACAGTTTTAAATAAGTGGACCTCAATATTTGATGTAAATGTTACAAAAATATCCCCAGCAAATTAAAGGTGTTATTGGTACCTCGTGTAGTGATGGGTGGATGGACACAAAGAAATATCAAGATTGCACGATTCAGAAGCATGAAGAAAATTCTTTTTTTTACTTCCACAGGCCTATGAGTTTTACAGTCTCAAATTTGGCCTCTATTATCTACAGTTGTGGAACGTGGTCATTGAAGAGAAAGTATACAGATATTTTTGCGTGAGGCAAATTCTTTTTTTATTTCCACAAGCCTATGAGTTTTACAGCCTCAAATTTGGCCTCTATCGTACAGTTGTGGAACGTGGTCATTGAAGAGAAAGGATACAGATATTTTTTTATCGAAGTAGCCGTGTAGGCAAATACTAAATACCAGGGCACGGCTGCTATAGGCTCACCGACAGAGATCGGCTTGTAACTCTGAATTCCTTCATGTAGAGAGAGTGCTGTCATCAGATGCGGATCGGATTCATCATACATGAAGTAGTAGTAGTGAGGAGCTGAAACCTGACCACTATACCACTTTTGACTTCTTTCCGACCCCGTAGTACCAACACTGTGTTGGATAAGAGGGCAGCATGCCACAGCTGATCAAACGCTTTTGCGTTATCAAGGGCAACGATATGAGCCTCACAATAAGATCAAGTCTGGACCAAAAGCCTGGTTGGCGTCTTACGGTCGTATGCCTGGATGTTGCTTCCCTCATAGTGTAGGGACCCTTTGAGTTGACTGCACTGAGGTATTGGCGCCACAGCCAAGGTGGATATCGCAAAGATTTTGGCAGGCACTTCCGCCTTAGCCTTTGAGTCGGTTACAATCGTTCCATCCTGGATCGAAAGCGGGGGAAGGCCTTTCCTTTTGAAGTTCCCTGCAATCTGCTTGACCACCGCCCAGAAAGACCGACTGCCATTCCGCTGCGGGATTACATTTTACATTGTGCTGGTATTTGGCATTGCGAACCGCTTCGTTATATTTGATTCTGGACTTGACATCGGCTTGTCTATTCCCTACAGTGGGGTTTTGTAAGGACGTTTCGTGTACCTTGATCTTTTGCCGACGAGCATTGTCGCACGATTTGTTGAACCAGCCTTTGGACCCTGATTTAGGCACTTTGCACTCTATGAGGGATGTATTCCTCCATCTCAACGTGGATAATTTTGATTATTGGATAATAGAAAGCAGACGCATCTGAGTCAGCGAAAAACACATCTCTTGAAGAAAAGGTGGAGAAAAAATATTTTTGTACTCGGCAAGTCCGTGGGTGAGATTCTGTTGCAACATCTGACTAAAACCTGATTTCTACAACACCGTGATCTGAGTTACCATGGAGAGACAAGCATTTGGAATGTGGATGTACAGAAGAATCCTACGAATTAGCTGGACACGGAGAATTATGAACTAGTGTATTCTACTAATAACTTTAACCAAAATCCGAAAAACGTCGTATTTGGAACACTTAGCACGAAGACCTGCAGGTTATGATCCAGGCAAAGATAGAGGGGAATCGAGAAATAGGAAGAAAGAAGACATTCATTGTATTCGTTAGTATGATCTCTTTTTTTTACACTCGCAATAGCTTGAAGCTGAGAGTTCATTTGAAAGTACGACTTAGGAGCTGAAGAAAGGGAGAGGCACATCAGGTGACCAAAAAATTATGTTGTATAATCGATTTTGAACATCACTGCAACCATACGACATGGCATCCGGCAAAGGGGAGCTGGATAACCTTGAGTCAACAGCAAGCGGCAGATTTATGGCTTGAAAAGAAAGAGCTTTCAAAGAAATGAAGCCCTACCTTTTATTTCCATTAACATATATTTCAATACAAACTTTACAAAAATATGTAATCTATAATACCTGAAAGACATTTGCAAATACAAAAGGTTAATTCTCCTTGGACGTCACGCGTGCAATATAGAACGACCACAGATGATTCTACCCAGCAACATACATCCAAAGGTGGGACAGGGTGGTGGGAACTACTCAATTAAGATAATGTTGAGGAGACCTTCTGCCCTCAACGAAGCAGCAACTTTCAGACTGAAAAGCAAATAAGGAAATCAGCTGTATTGTTGACTATCCAGGACACACAGAAAATAGAGTCAAGTAGAAAATGTAGGGTCAGAAGAAACTGTTCTCACCGAAAAAAAGACTAACTAGTTAACAAATCAAGATGAAAGAAAGGGGCACAGTCCGAAAGATTGCACAGCTCATTAAACACTATTTCAAATTGATATTAAGTTGTTCATTATCATAACGGGCGAACAGCAGTTCCAGGATACAGTTTGAAATTGGTACTATAAAAAATTTTTATTAATGGTTTCACAACAGAGAGAGAGAGAGGGACTATGGGGATTAGTGTCTTTCAATAAGACAGTTGCCTTCACAGATTATTAGATACACTAGTTGCCTAAATAGCACTTCCAGACAAAAAATCTTGAAAACCATGTTTCGTTATTCCTTCATGTTGAGTAACGCCGTAGGCATACCGAGTAATATTTGTTTCAACGGAAGGTGATCTGTTTTCGTCAAATGGATTGGAGACATTCAAGAAATATTAGCATGATCCGCGTAGTATATGTATATTATGTAAACCTTGAGAGTTCAGATTTGGCAATATAATGGACATAAGAATCTGATTTTCGAACACACCTCTTTGTAACCTGCAATTAAACGTGCTAGGCAAAGCTTCGTCCAAACACACCACCAACAGTGACTTTGTGATCAGCTCTAAGGTCCTCTTATTCTTATCATCTTTCATCAAGTCTTCTCTTGCCTCAGCCCATAGAGATCTTTTCCAGCCTGTGAGAAGTCCAACTGGCGGAATGTTGGATAGACACGGAGCATCGTCTAGGATATAGAGAATTTGAGAACAGATTTCGTCTTCCGTCAGTCGTCCTCTATCGGCTGTAAAAATACAAAGGACACATTATTACGTTATTTTTTGAGAAACTGGCACATGCATAAAATGAGAATGGTTTTGAGTAAGAACTCGATGATTTTTTGTCAAGTGTAAATCATATATATTTTCATGGTTTTTGGTGACATCAATGCCATACGAAATACATAAGCAAATCGACTATCTAAAGCTCCATAGGAAAATTGTACACTGGACAAACTGGCGATTTGAAACGCAGCTGCTCTCGCACATATGATTTGGTTAAAAAAGTATCACTGCTTTTATTCACATTCTCAAAGTACTCGAATAATTTTGGAAAAACTCTAGATATTCTCCGTTGGCTGTATTGTCAGGTGTTTTATATTACGGAGAACAATGAAAGGTGAAAAATGATATCAATGCCAACTGGGTTGTCACACTGAGAGTGACAACCATAGATGCATACGATTGCTCCTATGTGCGGGCGTGTGTTTTTGTGAACTTAAAGACGCACGTTTTTTAGTTTTGTCTCTGCGTAATGAAAATATCCCCGTCAACGTATGAGTCTTCCATACTCATGCCTGTTACTGTTAATAAGACCACTCGCTTGTCGTGCGCGCGTGATTAGTGTTAGTTAATCTACGATATGAATTATAATTAGTGCTTGAATCTACAAATACCATGTTGACAGTCTGTATTAGAAGTATCTTCAGAAACTGAGTAAAAACAACGGTCCACATCACCCAACTCATTTGTGTGTGCAAGAGCGCATATCAGCTGCTTACGGATCGGCTTGGGTAGTGTACAATTACCCACAAACAAGTTATTTCGTATGACATTGAGTCGTAGCCGTCAAAAACCGTGAACAGAAGTATATGATCCGGCCGCCACGGTGGCCTTTCTCAAATAAATAAATTAATGAAGATCACTATACTCGTATATTTTATACTAAGTGACATATAAATCCGAACACCCAGTTTTAATGATTTTATTTTAATAAAATTTTGTGTAAGTACTTAATGAAGCATAATAAGTAAATGATAAAAATTTCAAAATGATTGCGCTGCTTTAAAGCCCTTTGACCTTTAATAATGTGTGGATGCACCCTGATGTGCTACGAATTCTCCAACGCGCCTAGGCATGCTTCTGATCAGGTGGTCAATGTCCTCCTGTGGTATCTCATTCCAGGCAACCACCAACTCCTCTCGAAGTGCTTCTAGAGTCTGAGGAGGACGTTGCAAATTGAGCAATCTCCTACCAATCATATCCCACACGTGCTCAATTGGGGATAAGTCGGGAGATCTTGGTTTCCATGGTAACAATGTGACATCATTATCTTGAAAGAAGTCTATTGTGACTCTTGCAACATGTGGTCTGGCATTATCTTGTTGGAAAGTTGGATCTGCCAGGGTGTCAAGATAGGGTAAAAGATGGGGTTCTAGAACTTCGTGGATATAACGCTGCGCGTTCATGTTACCTCTGATGAAGATTAAAGGTGACCTGGAACCATAAGCAATAGCACCCCAAACCATAACTCCAACAGTGTGATGAACATGTCTTTCAACAAAAAACTGTGGATTCCTCCTTTCACCACGTCGCCTTCTAACCCTGGCATGACCATCGTGCATGCCTAAACAAAATCGAGACTCGTCACTAAAGACAATACTGTTCCATTCCTGATCCCAGAGTGACCGTTGTCTGCACCACTCAAGGCGATTACGTCGGTGTTCTCGAGTTAAAGGGAGGACCCAGTGTAGCCGGTATGAAAACAAGCCAAAACTTCTCATTCGTCGGTAAACACTTCGCACTGTACAATTACCCACAAACAAGTTATTTCGTATGACATTGAGTCGTAGCCGTCAAAAACCGTGAACAGAAGTATATGATCCGGCCGCCACGGTGGCCTTTCTCAAATAAATAAATTAATGAAGATCACTATACTCGTATATTTTATACTAAGTGACATATAAATCCGAACACCCAGTTTTAATGATTTTATTTTAATAAAATTTTGTATAAGTACTTAATGAAGCATAATAAGTAAATGATAAAAATTTCAAAATGATTGCACTGCTTTAAAGCCCTTTAATAATATGTGGATGCACCCTGATATGCTACGCATTCTCCAACGCGCCTAGGCATGCTTCTGATCAGGTGGTCAATGTCCTCCTGTGGTATCTCATTCCAGGCAACCACCAACTCCTCTCGAAGTGCTTCTAGAGTCTGAGGAGGACGTTGCAAATTGAGCAATCTCCTACCCATCATATCCCACACGTGCTCAATTGGGGATAAGTCGGGAGATCTTGGTGGTCATGGTAACAATGTGACATCATTATGTTGAAAGAAGTCTATTGTGACTCTTGCAACATGTGGTCGGGCATTATCTTGTTGGAAAGTTGGATCTGCCAGGGTGTCAAGATAGGGTAAAGGATGGGGTTCTAGAACTTCGTGGATATAATGCTGCGCGTTCATTTTACCTCTGATGAAGATTAAAGGTGACCTGGAACCATAAGCTATAGCACCCCAAACCATAACTCCAACAGTGTGATGAACATGTCTTTCAACAAAAAACTGTGGATTCCTCCTTTCACCACGTCGCCTTCTAACCCTGGCATGACCATCGTGCATGCCTAAACAAAATCGAGACTCGTCACTAAAGACAATACTGTTCCATTCCTGATCCCAGAGTGACCGTTGTCTGCACCACTCAAGGCGATTACGTCGGTGTTCTCGAGTTAAAGGGAGGACCCAGTGTAGCCGGTATGAAAACAAGCCAAAACTTCTCATTCGTCGGTAAACACTTCGCATGCCAATAGGTCTTCCGTGTTCTGCAAACCATTCATTTGCAATGGACCTGGTAGTGGAGAAACGGTCCCTTAAGGCCAATAATCTTAGGCGGCGATCTTCACGGTCTGTTGTTCTACGGCGGCGTCCAGTGCCCCTTGCTCTTTGCGTACGGCCTTCTCGAAGCCATGCCTGACAACACCTAACCACAGTGTCTACACTTCTTTGCACTCTAACTGCAATTGCCCGAAAAGAAAGTCCAGCTTCCCGAAGTCCCACTATACGGCCCCTATCAAACTCACTAAGTTGACGAAATCGTACAGGTCTCCGTACTCTAGGCATCATAACCGATCGTAAAGGATGTCAAGAACCAAAATCCGCCAACGTTGATTCTTTACTGCGGCTGAAATATTCATTTTTAGAGCGTTAGTGAATTAAAAAAAAGCAGTATAAAAACCGGAATGTCCAACTGATAAGGCTGAAAAATTTTCACTTGTTAGGTTCAGTAAGATAAATACATTCACCAACTTTTATTAAAATAAAACCATTTAAACTGGGTGTTCGGATTTATATGTCACTTAATATATATCTATCTATCTACCAGGTTACAGTTTATTCTTTATTCTTTTCTTCGCTACTCAGTGTGTTGCGACGACTACCTGATTGGTCCTGTACCACGTCGAGATAACAAACTTCAATTTTTCATTTAACCAACACATAATAATAATAATAGTAATAATAATGTTTATTTTTGGAATACAATTAGTATCGAACAAAACAAATAAACACAGAGTACCCGCAGAAGGAAGTTAAAGTTAACAACTGAGCCAGGGAAACCCTGGTATTGAAAAGTTGTTTTTGAGAGATAACTCCTGGTAAACATTAAAATTATAATCAATCTCCGATTGAAAAACCGGCACTCACAATATTTAGAAACTATTGAGTTAATTTGTCTGATTCTACTTTTCTACTGAAGCAGACGAGACCCGTCTGCGAATTTTCTAATGAACTATTTGGCAGTTTTTATAATGCAAGCTTTTTTGAAACAGATGACAAGATGCTAACATCTGTACGTAGAGGAACCCTCGAAAAACTCATAAAGTTGGATAGCCTTTCAACAAACTTTATTCTGAGAATGAGGGAGCGACACATAGGGACAAATAAACATAAACAAAAAGGTGCTTGGAAAGAACGTTAATTTTATAGGTATGAATGTGATATGTTTATTATTATCTCATTTCCTCGATCTACAACTTATATAATTTATATCTCTAGTTGTCCTTCAATAGTTGGTGAGCTAATTGAACTTTAATTAACTGTCACAACCTTATCAGTTTAATTTTATCTTGATAGTTACTCATTTGACAGATAGAATAACTCAACTAAAAACCTAATCTTTTTTTATTTGAGTAAATCTTTTCATTTTTATCTTAGTTCAATAAATGGGTATCCACTCTCGATAAAAACGCTTGTGTCATTTCGTAGCCACGTAGTTTAACTCTCTTTAACTAAACACAACCGAGTGTTACTCGAATGTCTTCAGTCTGATACTCTTGAGAATAAACTGTCTCCAACAGTGCCTAAAAGTGATGAGGTCATAACTTCTGAAGACCCTTTTGATTAGTTTTCAAATATTAAACATACAAAATCAACCAACTAAATTGACGCCGATCTTATGAAGACTTCCCAGCGCGTAAGATGGTAGATAGGTAAGTTACCTTACATAGTTTTCTCAAATCGTTAGTAACCGATGAATCAATATTTCGTTACTCAACTCCAGCCTTACACAAAATTCTTGATAACATAAACCTCAAGCTGTTGTCTGAATGGCCACTCGTAATTAACGAATTTCATCGTGACCGGTTTAACTAATTAGTTAATGTAATCGACTAATCGGCTAATTAAGATTCACTAATTAATGCAATAACGGCCAACCTGTTACACTATCTATATACCCTGAATGTCGATATTATATTTCTTCAATGGTTTCTCCTACCTGCTCTAACAGGAACACAATACAACTGGCTTCTACAAATGACTATGATATGTTCTGAGTCTGGTGGTTTGTCACCTTTCTGCGGTGTAGGAGTAACATATTGAGAGTCTCTCTTTCTGCCAGGAAGCCTTGATGCTCCTAGTATCCTGTAGTATTGAGCCATGCAAAGTGGTTGACCTGGTTCCCTGTCAACAGACCATCCAAATATAGAAACAAAAAACAATGATCACAGCCCATAGGGTCGTTATTAAAGCAAATTGCTTTGAACTATGATTTCAAATAATGATGCTATATATAAGTATGTTGATTTCAGTGTCCGTGTATTCAAATATATAGTAACACTTTGAAATAACTTAACCGGTCGTAGAAGCTACAAATGCAGGAGAAATCTTACAAATTAAAAGAAATATTAGTAACTATACGTACAAGCCCAACCTCTTTATTTTGAAAGTGATCACTAGTAAAACTGCCTATTTTACAATGACACTCGCAAGGCTTTGTTTTGTTGGTGTTGCTGGCAATATTTATGTGTATACAGTCGAATTAACAGCTAACTTTACAGTGTGACGGCGTGCAGGATTTGTACTTCTTATTCGCAGGGTGGGACGATTCTCCGGAGAGGTGTAAAAACGGCAGCTGACTTCCTCATCCGTTATACAAAAGTTTTTGGCTTCATCTTTGGGGAAATCACTTGTAAAAATGGAAATAAGGTCATACTGAATTGTAATCTCTCCCTATTATAGAAGCAGTAATGTTGCAACTTAAAAAGTTTCCAACCATGGCTATGTAAATGAAATGAATTTTAGCTCATTGACTAGACGCTAAATATGAAGAGTTTGTTCAAAATCTCTTCAATTTGAATATGTTTTTCACAAAAGTCGACTATTTCGTTACAAATAGCTAAAATTTCTCAACATGCCAAAAGTCATTTATTGGGGTTTACAGTTACTTGGATTCGTCGCCAGTTTCTCAATGACAGCTACTTTGTACGAAAGTACATATATAATACAAAGTTGCCGATTGTATAAATATGCCTTTGCTAAATGGTATTTTAAATGCTATAAACGTTTTATTCCAGGTTTTTTTGTGGTTTTAAGTTTCAATATTCAAAGCATAATATTTTGGTGATGTAGATACAATTTGTGTCACGTTTTTTATCATTCACATTATCACACCCACCATTTTTATCATTTCCATGTGATGATCCTGGGCGGTGTAACATCAACAAGGAATACGGATATTAAAAACTAGTTTGGGGAAAACATCCATTGAGGAACTTAAAATTTAGTAATAGTACATCACACAACTAGGTTGAAAAGTAAGCCAATCACGGCCTTCTCAAACGAAGTATAGAACTTTCTTCACTATCAGCACTATATCGATTTTATAAGATATAAAAATCGTCACTCTGTAGTGTCATTCACACGTAAATCAACGAGCCTGATGTTTCAAACCCATTTTAGGAAATACCTTGAACATCTAGTAACCTTAGTTTCAGGTGCTAACGATAGTTGATTGTGTTTTCATTCTCCCTTCTGGTACTTTTCGATACGTGGAATCCTTAAGAACATAGTAGCTTCTTCTCACTCAAATATTCCAGAACATAAGATTAGTTGTGACATATTAAAGTTAGCCGAATATAATTTCAAATGACATTGTTGTTTTCCTAGATATTTTTTTGTTATTGATTGCCTCGTTATTTACCTAGTGAGAGACAGGCTACCTCTCAGTGTGTCATTGCGGTCAATAATGGCGATTTCTCTAGTTAGTAGTGAAAAAATACATTTTTGGTAAGTAATACTTGGCGGAGACAAAATGCAAAGGGCTCTGAAGGTGGTAACAACATGGGCGTCAAACGAAGGTTTAAATGTAAGTTTTTCAAAGATATCCATAGTTTCTTTCATCAAAAGTAAGAAGTTATAGAGGTTATGACCTAGATGCCTTCTGTGAGGACAAGGGGAAATTAAGTACTTGGGGATGGTACTAGACTCCAAACTAACGTGGAACCCACATATAAAACGCACTAAAAAGAGCTGACTTTTATGTTATATAGACCTTCTCATGGCAACGCATGAGGATTAAGCCCTTCCATGATATACTGGACGTACATAATGGTGGTAACACCCATGATAACTTATGGATCTCACTACCTGTAATGATGAGGAAGGTGAGAATGGGTTACTCCACGCTATAGTTAAAGTCAAAGGGAAGGCATGATGACCTTGGACACAATCAAGTAAGGACACATTTTTGACCTTAGGAAGGACCACATAGTGCCCAAATTTATATAAAAAATTAACCTTGGGACCAAAATAGGAGATTCTATAGAGTACTAGGGGCACAACTTACAATAAGAAGTTACCTGGTAGACAAACGGCTCAAGAACCGAGCAGAGAACATGTTCACGCATATTTGAAAACAGGTGCAATCCGGGGCGTAGTAGATCCAATTCGAATAGACACCTCTACTTTACAGGTCGAACTGTAGGCCATTTTGTATTGCACCAGAGTAGACAATGAGCTATCGTACAAGAATAAAAGGATAACCATATACGTATATACTGACAATACGGTATCATTTAAAGCGTTAAGAAGTCCTAAAGTGACATCTGCACTGATTTGGGGATGCCAACAATAACTAAACACACTAGCGAAATACGTAAAGGAACAGGACAATGAAAGGACGGATGAGCTTGCAAGGAAAGGACCATCAATACCCTTTGTAGGCCCAGAGCCCACCTTGGAGGTGCCAAATAGCATTAAGGAACTAAGTCAAAGAATAGGTAAGAAACCAGTACAAGGAACATTGGCATTTAGTGACTGGGTGCAGACATAAGAAAGAATTTATCTCGGTATATGTCCAAATACAGCTACGGAACTGCTCTCATTACGTAGAAACCAACTCCGTGTAGTTACAGGCCATGAACAGGACATAGTGACCTGGAGGGGCCTCATCTGCAGATAATGCTGAAAAGGAACAGAATCAGTCTCATACGTCTTATGTGAGTGCGAGGTCCTGGATCACAAAAGACATCAGCTCTTAGGGACACCAAAATTAGAACCGAGCGAGCTTAGAACAGTCCCGGCAGGGAAACTGTACCAACTGGAACAGAAAACTAGACTTCTGGATTGGGTACTGTAAATTCGAGGAGCAAGCACAAGAGACTGCAGTGATACTGAGGACTGTCGTCGGACGGCTCTCGGATTGGGAAAAAGTAATACTGACTGAGTTGACTTGCGGCTATGGAAAATTGGTCCAGTATTTAATAATAACTTTTTTCTCACCTTGATGTTGCTCTTTCGATAGGTAGCGCCCTCTTGTCCAGTATTTCTTTATGATCCATTGCTGCGTCGATCAATCTTGAAGTGAATCTGGCCACATCCAAAATGGTAGTGAATTTTCTGGGTGGAAACACCATTCCTGGATTAGAGTTGATAGGTATCGGTTCTCGGTAATTTAGGTACAAGTCATTCAGCCAGTACTCATACGCCTGAAAAGATAAATATCGATACTCGTAACAATACTAACACACAGACAAAATCCGTAAATAAGCAGTCAAAAATTACCCAACAGTTTTGAAAAAATTACAAAGATCATAAACCATAAATGTCTTAAATTTGAAATAAAATAAATTAACTGATTGTTGTGCGAGCATAGCGTGAATGTAAATAAATAGTACATGAATTTGAAATTTTTCAAAAATTGGTCTTTTGCTGGACTTGGAAAATGCTGAGATGATTTTATCCCTTGTCTCCCCCTACTTATTTGAATGTATAAATTAGCAAGCTGTGATACGAGAAATTGCATCAGTGCTATGTTTAAACATAAAAGTGTCATTTGAACATTTCAAAGTGGCGGTTTATCGCTACTATGTATAATTCTTTCAATCGAATGGATATTCAATTTAGGAGCTCCTTTATAATCGGAGAATATTATATCGCTCTAATTCAAAATGGCGGACTTTTAGGTAGATCGCTGATAACAAGCAATCATCGACACGTATAGTATGTTACATGGACCTTTTTCTTGTTGAATGACTTATCCGATTTTGTAATATGGAATATTTCATTTACAAAGAATATGGAAATCTGTAATCCCAATCTTCCATATTTTGTTGTACATTTAATTGAACCCTTACTACTAACTACGATGTTTACAGTTGCAAGCAGAATCATTGGATATTATTAATAAACTACTTCGTGGTTTACTAATAGTTATTAATAGTTTACTAATAAACCTAAAAAGCATGGCAAAACGTAAAAAGCACATAGAGATTGCGTCAGGTTGTGTTGACATTTTTCAATGCGCAGACATTCTACCTTATGTTCTACGCCCAGTAGATTTGTGAGACCCATACCATCCTTGGTGACAGGATTGGCTCCATACGAATACGTGTATCCTTAACGCAATTTAACTGGATCCCTATAGTCTTTGTGTTTGGGATTGATACATCCAAGGGAACTAAGGTACAAATAAATTCCTTCTGTTAATAAGGAAAGCGTTTTCCCACATTATTCCGATGATTGGAGTAAATTTTTACCAAAAGAAAAACCAATGTACCTTGCCTTTATGGATATGGAGAAATCATTTGATAGAGTTCCACGAAAAAAGTTAAAAGAGAATTTACTGAGAAGAAATGTTCCTGTAAAATTATTAGAAGTGATCATGATTATATACCACAAGACTAACAACCGAGTAATATCCAGAATTCGCTACTTCAGAGGGTGTACGTCAACGCGGAGGGCTTAGTCTCCTGTTGTTTATAGTATTTATGGATGATCTGATAAAACAATGCAGGCGAAGAACAAAACAATACAGGAGGTTGTAAAAAGTGGAACTAACAGAGTGCGCATTTGCAAATGATTTGGTGTTGATAACTGGTAGTGTTGGGAGTCTAGAGGAAAATTTAAACATTTGGAATAAAGTACTCGAAGATAATGATATAAGTTGTGTCTGTGTCAAATGAAAAACTCAATATGGACGTAAGAATAGATAATGTAAAATTACAACAGGTGCACTCCTTTAAATATCTGGGAGCTATATTGGAACCTAACCACAGAAATGAAATAGACATTTCTGAAAGGATAGGAAAGGCAAACAACTTCTACTATGCGATGAGTAACGGTTTTATCAATAAAAATGAGGTGTCTAAGAAAACAAAAATGACGGTGTATATTACAATATATAGACCTATATTGACATATGGATGCGAATCCTGGGTTCTATCGCAACAACAAAAAAGTAAACTTCATGGAGTTGAAATGAAATACTTGAGACGAGTTTTCGGGGTAACCAAAATGGACAAAATAAGAAACGAGACTATAAGAACGGCGTTAGAGACAGAATTTACACTAGAACACATAGAAATGAAGCAGCTGAGATGGTGCGGAACATTTGCAAATACCGGTGAAACAAGTTTGGGAGAGTGAGGTGCTAGGCAAAAGAAGAAGGGGCAGGCCACAAAGAACATGTGAGACTACCATAGAACAGATATTGATGAAAAGAGGGACGGATTGGAGAGAAGCTAAGAAACTTGCTTTAAATAATAAAGAATGGACTAAATTCATGTGCAAATAATAGTAGGTTTTGTAATGCTTTGTTTAACCCTACACCCTTTAGGGTGAATGGGATTTTGATTATATATATTCAAAACCCATAACTGCATTAGGAGCTATATCCAACATTACTTGTTTCTCAATCGCTGTCAAACATTTTGAAATATAAAGTTCATAATAAAATTCACAGGTTAACCTTTGTAGATGATATTATTATTTAGCTAGGTGTTTTTTTGGTTTCATTATTTACGTATAAATGCTACTTCTACATAGTACATTACGATCAATAATGATGATTTATAAGGCTGGTAGTGAAGAAAAGTATATTTTCACTATATAGTTTATGTTATAACACACGTGCATTCTTCATAAGGTCTCTTTACCAAGCTCTATAACATTGAATGAACACCAACGTTACTATCATCCTCTCTCCCGTATTCCTGGAAAACAATAACTCTCGTCCCGTCCCCAAATTTCCCATAAACCCTCCGATAACAATCTATTCGGGACGCCCGACAAGCCATCCTTAGCCTCCGCAGCTGTTTCCCCTTGGGGTCCAGTTCGGGCCGACCAATAGCAGCACGGCACCGGAGCGCGTGCTCCGGGAATGCCCGCCTCCGGTTGCCATGGCGATCGACATCGTCCGTGGGAATCCGGGCCTTTCCGGGAATGACAGGAGGCCAGATGGAGAGAGGTGTTTATGTCTGGGAATGCGACGGGACAATGAAGTAAGTGTCGTGATTGTTGTTAAAAATAAACGTAGAAAGTTTTTTCCTGATTTAAATGCTCACAGGCATGTTTTTTGCGGATTTATGTGGAAATTTACAATGCTTTTCACTTTTTGTGTGGACACAAAACTCACCTCGTAGCATGATTTCTGACAATGGCAATAACTCGTTACCTTGATTTTTGGTTCATTTTGGCATGGGATCAAGCTGAATTCCAAAGAAACAATCTGCAATACTCAAAAAACTAAGGGAGCAAGAGATTCCAAATTTTTCGGTGATTTTTGACAGGTTGTATTTCGGTGAAAAATGGTCGTATCTATATTATAAAAAATCGTTTTGAATCTTCAAGATTCTAGTTCTCAGGTTTTTTAGCATAAACATTTTAGGAGTAACGGTTCTCCTGTGTGCAAAATTTTTTCTCTATTTTTTTATTTAGTCCAGGGGCTTGAAAAAATGGGTGGATCTGCCTTCGTCCAGGGTTATTAGGGGTACATATAAAAACCTAAAAACATCAACCTTCTGATCTCAAAAATGTGGTACATTTTGCAAAACAAGGCAAACAGCAATTTTTTTGATATTTCCAAAATCAATACTGAACAAATTCCTTTAAGATTGCAGTCAAATTTTATTGGAAGTTTATGCCAGTTTTCGGAAATAGCCTTATATTCTATGTGTGATCACTGGTGTGATCAGTGGTCGATGACAAAAGGACCGTTTTTCATTCAAAATCGGATCTCCGCGCCAAATAATCAGATCTTAAAATCAGAATGTTGGAGCTTATATGATGACCTAACAGAAAAAAAAATTCCAAGCCTGTGGACTAAAAAAATAGTCCAAAATTTTGCAAAAAATATTTCTTGCACCTGCTGTTAGAATTTCATGAGAGCCGTTGCTCTCAAAATGTTTTGGCTAAGAACCTGAGACCTGGAATTACAGAGCTTCGAAATGCTTTTTTTAAAGTCTCGATACGATAATTTTTCACCAAAGCCTGCCAAAGATCACCAAAAAAATTTTTTCTTTCTTCCCTATTTTTTAAAAGTCGTGTATACCAAATCGTAGATGTAAATATAAGTCTCGGATATGCTTTTTTGCCAGTTGTTCGATGCTGCGATTCAGCGCCAGCATGGAATGATGCAGTTTGCATCTTCCGTGGTATTTTTTGGGATCGACACGAATATTATTGTAAATGTTGCGTGTTCAGCTTCCATCGAAACACTATGTATATTTTGTATATCGGAAGGAGAGCATTATCTATTTTTTATGGAACATTACGTTTCAATATGATGTAACAATTTTATATAGTTTAACCAACAGTGTTGTCGATTGACGAACACTAGATATTTTTCGACCACCTTCCTAGATTTTCTTGACAAAAATGAACACGAGTACACTAAAAAAGCGAAGCATGTATTTCGATAGATTCAAGTTTGGTTTCAGCAGATCATTCCTGAGATTATGCGGTGACAAACAACATTCTATGCAACGTGAGTCAACACTTGTTACCCACTAAACATAGTAATGTATTTGAGTTTAGAAAATATGCCTTTATGATTTAGGCGAGGCGCTAGTTGAGGAAATCTATTATGTAGTTTTCGGATTCCTAAATTTCTGAACATCTAGCCTATTTTTCATGCCATTCGGTAAAAAGATCGGAACATGCAAGAGTTGCTATGAAAATTCTTCAGTACATTTTTTGGTTTTAATTTTAGTTTTAATTAAATTAAAAGAAATTAATATCACGAAACCGTTCAAAATCAGAAAAAAGACATACTTGACTATCATGCAAACAGGTGTTAACTACTCTAGCAACTTATCAGTAATTTGAAAAACCTGCCTAGCTTTTTGTTATTCACTTTTTGAGCACGCACAGAAATTCCCGTGACAGGAATATGAAAAGATAGAAAAACAAAGTTTTAAGCTCCAATTTATCATTATTATATATCTTGAATCGCTTCCTTGCATAAACATATTGAAAATAATGGCATCAAGAAGGTGGACTCTGCATTTAGCATGAAAGATTGTCATCAGTTCATAAAGGTGACAAGATTTTGTAACCACCGTTTAATATTTCTCCACGTCTGCAAATATTTGGGTAAATCTGTGATGTATGATATATACGTATATACTAATGGGCGCAAAGAATTAGCGAGGTTGGAAGCGTATGGATATAGTACGAAAAATTGAGATATACTTTCATCCATCCCCTAC